AGAGGGATGTAAGGAGAGAGAGAGGGGAAGGAGGCAGCCTACACAATATACACACAGAGGTACAGACAGTGAAGGTGATGTTGCTATAGACTAACTAGACTGTTGCTATGATCTGACTCCAGATAGTTCATCAGTTGAGATTCAGCTGTTTCACTAATAAAACCATTTTCTGATTATCATTACCATGGACCGCAACATTGCACAGGCTACTGTAGCTTAGCATCAGTAGCCTATAATATTCATTCCAGTAGGACAAAACAGCAGTTTTATTTTTGTGGGTTGTTTTCAGTCATAATTTATTGTGCAAGAACAATGCTCTCCATGGGGCGATGGAGCAGTGGATAACTGTGTCCCTGGGCGAGACTTTTCAGAGGCGTGCGACCTCTGACACGTGTAGACATTGTAAGTCGCTTTGGATAAAAGCAGGTTTATACCTGCAGTTGGTTTGTGCTGCACAGGAAACTGCTCCTTCAAAACAAGAGACTTGTTTTGTACAAGACAAACCAGAGCTGGACCACATGACGGAGACAGAAAACCTGGGGCGGCCCCTGGCAGATTTCTGTTAAACATATGTAACTAATTAGGATGCAGCGCCGTGAGAGGAGAGGAGGAGGCTGCTGGAAGGCAACAATGTCGTATTTAAGTTTGTTTCTGCTTGATAAATGGCTATTAAAATGAATTGGGAGAGCTTTTCTTACACTTTCCCCCCCAATTATGATCATTTTGGAGCTGTTTTTTGTCCTTAGGCGCTCGCTAAAACTTTAGATCGGTGTGACGGTGGGTCACCAGGGAGGAACCTGGCAGGCGGAGCTGAGGGAGGCGTTAGCCCAATTGTTAGACTCACATGTCGTCTCTGCAGTCCGGAGGTTTCATCAGTCACTCTCCTTTGATCAGGTACTCGTAGATCTCAGAGTTCTCCACGCTCTGTGTGGTGTACACGTTGACAGCGAGACTCTCCAGAGCGATCCACTTCACCGGCAACTTGGAGACCGAGCCCTGTCTGTAGTAATCTCCGCTGTAGATCTTATTGGAGAGGCCGAAGTCTGCGACACATGTCCTCACTCAGCCTGAAACACACGGCAAACATTCAATAACACATTCTGCTGCTGGACACAGTGATAATATCTCATGATATCTATTGCTCGTTTGTTTCTCCCTTGCTGCTGTGACACGGTGAACAGAATAAAAGATTTGGACTTAAATTAATTGCAAACCTCATTTCACAGCCTAACAGTTATTATTTTATCAGTTATTGTTTTTATTTCACTTAACTGAAGTGTTTTTTTCACACCCAGTGCTACTTAATTTTACTAAAAAAACGTTGTTTAGTTTAGTTTTAGTCTAAAATCACCTTTCTAATTACATGGTACATGGGCTACTATTTGAAGTCTTTACCGGTTACTTTCGCTTCCAAAAAAACGCTGGGTTCCCGGCACGTTGGGGTGAGGGGGAATGAACGGGTGGATAATATTGCAAAAGAGAGCTTAGGAAGAGAAGTAGATGTCCATGTATTATTAGGGAGAGTGGAATTGACAGAAAAAATTAAAGAGGGCTTAATAAAAAACTGGCAGAGAGGCAGACACTACTTTTCTATACAACCCAAAGTTAGGAAGAGATGTTTATGTAACATTTTGTCCCGCATGGTTAAAATGTGCAGGTTGAGGTTGGGGCACTGTGGATTAAATTATTCTTTGTGCATTGTGGGGAAGCATGTTTCTGGCTTGTGTGAATGTGGGAGTCTTGAGACAATAGGGCATGTTTTCCTGGAATGCAGAAAGTATAGGGCAGAAAGAAATGTACTCTTTAATAAACTGTCAGGACTTGGAGTTAAGGCTTTTTCTGTTTTCTCTTTGTTTGGGCACAGTGACAAGCATAAACTGATCTCAAGGCAGTCCTTCAATTCTTGCATGACACAGGATTGTATGTAAGAATTTAGTTCAAACTTTGACCTGTGGAGGGCAGTAATACGCTCATAAGCGTCTACACTGCCGGAATCTTACAAAAAGAAGAAGAAGAAGCCGCGCTGTGCGCACAGACGCTCAGTTGAAGATGGCGGACACAGAAGGAGGTGAGTCCACGTTTCTCTGCAAACATCTGAAATCTTTACCTGGTTCTAGAGTGGACCTTGTTTTAGTGCATCTGGTTCCGGCTTTAGTGCACCGCGTCTCGTACTACTGGTTTTTAGTTTCCGTCGCGCGCAGTTCTTGATGTAATATCCGGTTTAAAGTTACCGAACTTTGTCCGGATCCGTGTTACCCAAGTTCTTAATCTGAACCCTGTGTGCGTTAGTTCGTCTCGGTTCGTGCACCTCCCCCGCTCTCTCAGGAGGTCCAAGTGTCACGAGTCTGTTAATGTGGGACCGCGTGCTTCCTGGCGGCCTCACTGTTAAAGTACACTGAAAGTAAAAGTACTGCATGTTAAAGTACTTGTAGAAGTATAAATGCATCATGAGGTGAAGCAGGATTTTCATTAAATGGTGAGAAATGTAGTCATGGTTACCCAGAGCTGCTTGTTCTGTGGGGGGGGTCTGGACCTGACCGCAGGTTTGATGACCGAATGTGTTTGCTCGTGTGTTTGCAGCATCAGTGAAGGAGACGAAGGCGGTCAGCGAGGAGGAAGTGGGGTGAGTCGGAGTTCACCTGGCTGAGCTTCAGGTGCATTTGTTCAGACAGGTGACGCCGTGTGTTTGTGCAACACGAGATCCAGCAGAGCGGATATGGCAAGCCATTAGTGCCAAAAAACGTCACTCTTGTAGCACGTTTTGCTAACAAAACGGCGTTTAAAACGGCGTTTTGTGTATAAAAACGCCGCGAAAAACGCCGTTTTCTTTTGGCACGCCGTAAAAAGCGGCGTTTAGTTAACAAAACGCCGTTTTAAACGCCGTTTTGTTAACTAAACAAACGGCGTAAAAAACGGCGTTTTGTAAAATGATAATGAGCTCCGCCCTGTGGATTTTACAGCCACTAAATTTGAACTGTTGTCACCCAATCAGTACAGAAGAAGAACAGACCACACTAATTCAGCACTGATCTACTTTACTGTGATCGTAGCCACTCAAAGGCATAAAGTAACCACAGACAAGCATGAAAAACTCAACACAAAAGTCCCAGACTGATCAAGTAAATTGACTACATTTACTAAAAATATTTAGCTACTCTAGGTTATAGCTTGTAACATCTAGTGATTGATTTTAGATCAAATTTGACATAAATAATTAATTTGCATTTTATTTATCATCACTGTCAGATTAAAGTATCTCCTAAAATAGAACATACAAACACAAAGAAAGTAAGAAATCACCATAAGTGGAACAACTATCTTTACATGGTCATCAGTGAACAGTTTAAGCCTCATTTGTCTTTTTATGAGCCCTTCAGTCGGTGTAGTATTGATAGCGAGCCTACCCTTGTTTCTACAAAGCTTTGTTTTACCATGTCATCCTAAATCCAGGCCAAAGGCAACCTGACACAAACGTGTGTTTCAGTCGGTTCAGGGAAAACTTGTCATTTATTCCCTGGCTTTTATTTATTTATCCAAAGCTATCCTTCCGGACTCCTGCGATAATATTTATGTTACCCCAAAACACTACACTATACAAGTTGCTACAAAAACTTATCTTATTCCATATTTATATATTTCCACATTTATTTATGTTGACTGTATGTTTGTCTACATGTAGCACCTTATCACCACAGCAAATTCCTCGTATGTGTAAAACACTACTTGACAATAAAGCTCCTTCTGATCCTGAAAAGGCATCTGCAGGCTATTAAGATACTTGGTTTTTAAAAAACGCTGAATTGCTTTCCTCCGAAATGGACATATTTGAGAAAGGTTACCTGAAGTCTTTGTGAAAGCATACCTTCTGATGATACCTAAGCTAAATAATAAGATGCATGTTTTGAAATCATGTTAATCATCAATAAGCTATCTTTACATTGTGAATAATGTTGGCTGATAATGACAAAATGAAATCGGTTTAATCAGTAAAGGTTGAAATTTATTTTACTGTGTAAACCACACAACATTCAAAATTATTATTATGAACAACCAGGATAAAGAATCTGTCAGACTATTTGTGAGAGACAATTGATTGGAGTCTTGACTACTACCAGATATTTGACTTAATACTTTGAACAATTAGGAATTATGTTAAAACCATTAAAACCAGTAAAAGGTATTTAAAAAATAATGCAAAAATATAATTACGCTCATTTTAATGAACAACTGTAACTAATATAGCCTAAGTACATCAGTGTGTGTGTGTGTGCGCGTCTGCGTGAGGCTCCAGCTGGTGACGGGCATCACTCGTGGTCCAGTCCATCGTAGGGTGAGTGGAAGTTCTTGGGCAAAACCTTCAGTTCTTGGGGCTGTTTGAACTTCAGCTCTTTAACTGGCTGGCTGGATGCGCACAGTGGGGCTGCTGTGGTGATACTCTTCTTTTAAGAGATGGGGACAGATAGGCTTCCCAGTCATCTGAGTGGTGCCATCCACGTTGTATCTAGTGGATGGAAGAATTTAAAAGGGAAAATAGGGACAGAATTTTAATAGATTACAAAGTACGTCTTTCACAGTGGTGGAAAAAGTTGTCAGACCTTAGGTAAATGTTCCAACACCACACTGTAGAGATATTCTGTATGTCAAAAGTCCTACATTCAAATTTTAAGATGAAAAGTAAAGCTAATTCTAACTACTTTATATTTTGCTGTGTGGCTTTATCTGTGAAAATACTCTAGTTTTTGAATATGTTTTTAATTTATAATCTGCAGAGTAACTAGTCACTAAAGCCATCAAAATAAATGTAGTGGAGTAGTACTTCAAAAAGAAGAGTAATTGGGCGCATGTACTTGGGTACTTTTCACAACTGATTTCTATTGACATAGAAGGCAATATTTGTGCAAGAATGTATATGTCTGATAAAATACCTGATTGTTTGGAGGTCATGCAATGTTGGATCCCCAGCTTTTTCCCAGTTCCCCATCTGGCAGAAGTCCTTGAAGATATGTACCTCACACGGTATGGCCTGGAATTGGAGTGAGCACCAACAAGGTCTTCTCATCTGCATCGTCTTTGTCCTTCTGCTTCGCAGGCTTTGTGTCCCATGAAGCTGCTTCGATGTTTCCAGGCTTGAAAGAACAGTAGGCATCACACTGGTCTTTCTTTAAGTGAAAGGGAGATATATTTAAGTCACAGAAAATGTTTGACAAAACTTACATTGACAGAGGCTGTTTTCAAGAGGGCTCCCACTTCAAAAAACACCACTGCTTTATGCCTAATGTTGACAGGAACAAGCGTTGGCACATTCAGATTCTTCTCCAATCTACTACAGGGTGACAAATAATGGATGCTGACCTTCTGGATTCATCTGCTCCTGTCCGCCGCCGCTTTACAGTGCTCCCCTCCACCACAGACTTCACAATCATTTCTCCAGTCCAAATTCCCCCAGAAATACTTAGAAATCTTGTTCTTATGATGTGTCTTCTGCTTTTCTGCAGTAGAGTTTAGTGAACCTTTAGCAGGTTGCAGACTGGCATGGACATACTTTTCTGGACCTTCACGTTCCAGGTCTCTGGATTTCCCCGTCTTCCAAGATGAGCCTCATCGGTTGAAGAGTCCTCCTCAATTCCTTCTCCTTGTGAATAAGAGAAAACAAAAACAGAAATTCTGTAAATGTTGTCCTCACAGTGTGTCTTAGTGTGGTGTTGTGTCTGTCTGTGCAAAAAGTGTGCTAAACAATAGCAAGCAAACTAGAAAACATTCAGCATTCACTGCATTAACTACATCTTACACACACTTCTACGTGTGCATCAGTATGTTGAAAGGTTTTACTACTTCTCACATTATTGTGATCTGTGATTTGATCTGAGCTACATTTATTTGCGTGAAAAGGTTTTATACAATATGTTTTCAATTGTTTGTATGGTTGTCATTGGTATAAAACCTCCAGAGGGGCCAAGTGTGTGCACATCCAGTCAAAAGTACTCAAGTGAAAGACAAAAAATATCACTGCAGGACACAAAGGACAAATCTCTGCAGTCCAATGGTGTGCAGACATTTTTCCTGAATTATTTTAATGCCTACATTCAGTGAAATTTTTTGAAAAAAGATTTTTATCATAATTGTTTTTTGACGTTCTACCTGAGATCTGTTAAGTGACCACTGTTTTGCAGGCTCTTGTCATGTACTGACCATAAATAAAAGTTTAAAACCAAAATAAACTATATGTTTTCAAATCAGAAGCAAAGGTCAGCTTTTAAACTTGACAGAAATAAGAATTTGACCTTTTTCATGATAACTATTGATGCTGAATGATATTAGACTTTTTTTTTTAATTATAACATTTTGGGCCCCAGCCGATTCTTTCTGAAATACGGAAGAAATAAAACCGAAACCAAAAGTCTTAAACATCTGTTTTTGATTGAGGAAACCAAATATAGATCTTTGAAGCACAGTGAACTGTCCCATCATATTTTACATTGAACCACAAAGCTTTCAAACCCTATACTTGCTACATCAGCAGTGAGTTGTAAAGAACAAGTTTACGTTAGCCAATCTACAAAATGACAGATGAGAATGACTCTGAACTAGTACAAACTTGATAAAGTTGTCAAACAATAATCTTAAAGCTATACTTTACCTTAGCGACGGTATCTTCCACGGCGAAAGCTTTTTGCTGTTGTTTCTGCTATTCTTTTATTGCCGGTTGGCAAGCCAGCTTATATGCCTTACAAGCCCCAGGCACAGGGCACGTGGAAAGGTAATAAACCTGTAAAACAGCAGAAATGATGAGGCTGAGGAAACTTGCTGCCATTGGTCTAGACGGTCTTCCCAGAGTTCATTTAATAAATACAGTAATTTTAGTCATTACATGAAGTCTCTTTTTGCACATCACTCAGTAATATTCAACTAAGTAACCAAATTACATAAAGTGAATAAAATGTATCTAGCACACGCATCAATTCATCATTTTCCTCATTAAAAGGGAATTTAAAACTCTCGTAGCCTACAGTGAATGTAAACCTTCGAAATATTAACAAAAAAGTATAATACTTAAATATATAAAAAGGGAATTTAAACCTTTTATATTAACAGGGATAAATCTCTCATAGTTCTTACTGACAGAACCGTTCACTGTCCTCAATTTAATAAAAGATCCTGGCAAGATAGTGACATTTTTTTGTAAACAAAATACAAATAAAATACTTCATATGTGAAACCAGCGCCCAGCAGCCGTAAATGTTAATGGTGGACATTGACCGAGGATCGGGAGTGCTAGCTAACGTCTAGCACAGTGTAAGAAACCTATCAACAAACTGCATAGTTCATACTAAAAACAACGTAAACACAACAGATAACGATTGCTATGCTTATTCATCTGTTTTGTGCTTTTATACACCGTACTGACCTGTAAAACAGGAGGATCTCGACGATCTTGCCGGAACGACAGCTACGTCATCAAAACAGTCCCCAACCGGCAGCAGGCAGCGCTCTGCTGCCCCCTACTGTCTGCAGTGGAGTACTTATTTGTAATGTAAAAGCCTTGGAGGACTTGGTCGACTCAACATTACATTTACATGCATGTGGATGGAAGAATTTGAAAGGGGAAAGAGGATTTTAATAGATTACAAAGTATGTCTTCCACAGCAGTCAGACCTTTGGTAACTTAGGTAAAAAAAAAAACACTATAGAAATATTCTGTTGTTTGAGACACTTTCTCAAATAAAGGGAGGGAGGTGCGTGCATCCTGTAGTGGAAGATACATGGTTTGATGGACACTTTTCACATCCAATGGAGATACTTGTTCAATACATAACGTGATAAACCTTTTGAATCATATGTTAAATTAAACCTAAACAATGTGATCACACTTTTTTTTTCTTTTTACAAACTAATATAAACTTTAATTTATTTATCCAACTCTTATGCCACAATATTTCTTGCTTGCTTTTTCCCCCTGTTACCATCCCCATTCCCCCTTAACTGAAATAAAAACTAATGAAAGTACTCTGAAAGTACTCTGGCTGTTAGGGAGAGCTAACCATTTGTAAGAACTGACCTGTAACTTCAGATTAGACTCCAGCAGCAGCAGCTTGACCACCACCAGCACCACGTCTGTTGTTCTCATTATGGTTATGGGCCTATCTATGAAAAAGGGGAATATCCCTTTTTTTTTTTTCTGAGGTGTTTGTGAATGGCTTAGTGTCCAGATACAGCTTGGTGACCATCTGACTGATGACTCCTCAGATTGTCAACTGGCTGCTCTGGAAAAGACTCAACAGGTGCTTAGATGTTTCTGTTCTGTTTAGAGGAGCTTTTCCACAGTTCCTTTTTTAAAGAACAAACAAACAAACCAAAAAACTACTGTGTTTGTGTCTACTTGTTGTTCCTTACCAATATTTGACATAACGAGTTTGTTATGCATATTTTTGATCAAGTGGATTGTTGGATACTTTCTCCCAGTTTCAGTAAATGCACTATCCAAATATGGACATAAATAATAGGAGAATTATGACATTACATTGATAGAGTAAATGACAAGTACAATCATTGTTACAAAAATAGATAATAACATGAAGTAAAGAAGCTTATGAGTTTTAATGACTTTTGGTTTTGTTATGGTCTGAATTGAAAATGTTACATATACATAGATATGTAGTGTACCATTTATGAGGCATTATAGCCTATCACTGGAAGTTTAATCTGTTATTAACAATGATAATACATTATAGTGTAGCTACTGCTAACTGTAAATGATAACATTTCAAAACACACAGGGCTGTCAGGCCTAAAGCTAGTTAATGACAACTCGAGGCGGTACAAATCTCCCGCTGACATTGAACATAACCCAAAAATGTCTTTACATACCTGATGAAATAGACATATGGCCTTAATCAGCACATGTATACTCTTTTCAAATAAACCACCTAATGCAGTGTAATTCATGTTTCGCCTGCAGTAACTGTGGGGCTGATGTTTTTATTAAGTTACATGGTGTAGCTTCATGAATGTCATCTTTACGTTTTCTTAACATAGAACATTTAGATATAGTGTAAGTAGGCTACTAGTTTGGCTAGATAGCCTATTTGATATATTCATATAGCCTATCTTTTTACAACCCTATTCACAGCCATAAGAAATTTAGGGACAGAACCAACAAAGCACCAAGGTGCGAACCAAAGTTCATGTTTTGATACATTTTGATCCATTCGGTTAGTTTTGGTTTGGTTTCACACCTTCTGCGACCACACTAAAAGACTTTACGTGACAGACTTGCGTTCTGTCATCATCATCTAAGTGGGCTGCATCTCCCCACTGCGTCTCCCTGTACTTGACATTGATTGGTTTATTAAATAGGTCGGCAGGTATCTTTGACAAGAATGAATGAATGAAAAATTAACATGTGCATAGGTAGGCTATTTGTCGCTATATTGTCATTATTATGGCATTACTACCTGTAGCACCAACTCTACTGAAGGCTAGTTCAAATTCGCAAATACACACCCTCATTGTGCGAATAACTTCTCCGACAGGAAAGGAGAAGACAGCAATCCTTCTGCACCTCCGTTTCAGGAGAAACCATAGGTATGTGTACCCTACATTAAGTCTAACACTTAGTCTAATCACTCTGAGGAATGAGATAGGTAAACAGCAAGTGTAATATTAGTAAATATATAGGGCTATTATATACAGGCATTATTTTGAACTGTGAGTTTTTGAAATATAGCTTCTTATAGCCTATGCTATGCTTGAGACTGTAGCCTAAACTCACTCATAGCCTATGTTGTGAGAAGTGTTTTTTTCTTTTTAGGGAGCTGGAAACACCTTCTACTGCCCTTGAAGCACAGACTGTATTTCACCGTTTTATTGTCATATGTAATAAACAAAGATGGAATAAATTTGCAAAATTGTGTATGTGAGTTATTCCTTTACATCACAATTTACAAATATTAAATATAAATAAATATAATAAATATTAAAAGCCAGGTAAGCTGGTCAAAATATCTTAAAGGACGTTAACAGCCTGTGCCTGTTCACCCTGTTGCCATCTAGATAGAAGATAGACATGTTTCTGCTGTCACACCACCAGACGGCAGAAGAGCTTTAAACTCAAGCTACAGTTTTTAATTTATTTCTGTTTACCATTCTATAATTGTACTGCCTGCTATGTACCAGAAGGGAGTTACAAACATTTCCTTTTACAACCATGTTGTCATGTGACCATTGAACATACCACGTAGGCTAAACATTGCAGTTGTGGTCATAAGATTTTTAAAGAATAACTATTATTGTATGACTTTCTAAATAAATATTTCCAAAAGTTAGTAATATGATCATATTATAAAGGTTTTTAATACATAGATATTTGACCAGGTGGTTGTTCCTCAGCAGAGTTAGACCAAGGCTATAGCGCATAGGCCTAGCCTAAATAATATTGGAAATAATAATAATATTGCCTGAAAATGGAAATAATCCTAACCATTAACATATTCTCACAGAGAGAAATGCTTTAAAAATGAGACAGCAAGAATGAGGAAACAAACGTAATTGCGTCACACTTGTTGACGTTTTCGCGGTTTTCCGCGGCTTTTCATTCTCAGTCCGCTCTTTTGAGATGGTAGATGAACAGACATGTCGGAGAGAGGCAGAAGATTTCGAAGAAGAATAAGTGAAATCAGAGACAGAATGAACGCCCAGTTCAACAGAATTTTGAATGAAGACGGACAAGAAGCATCTTCTCTACTTCAGAGGTGAACTGTTTTTTATCATAGACTGTATATAAAAATCCGTTTTTATAGATATTAGTGTAGGCTATGTTAACTGTTACTGGGTAACGTTAAACTTACACCAGACATTCCATAGTATTGCATATTAACGCTAGCATTTAAAAATAGTTGAATTAACATTATTATAATTGTAGGATAACCTGTGCATAAAGTGCATGTTTCTAAAATGCTTTTGCTGTTACTTTACAAGAAAAGTAAAAGTCTGGACATTTAGTATTTGAAAAGACATATTTTCTAAAATGATATTCAAGCCTACAACGTTAAATCTTTTGGGGATGATTAATGTTAGGCCTTATTTCCGGGGCTTTTATCATTTGAATTGAAAGTGTTTCACAAAAGGCGCCTAAAACAACAGGTAACTTAATGGTTACACCAGCTGGCGGCGCTGCAGTCTCATTGACCTCCTTCTGGAGGAAGATACAGTGTCTTACAAACTTTGTTTCAACTTCCAATATGTCCTACATCTTCTTCGTACTTGTCATATTTTTGTCCCTTTACCATACATTATTTTATTTACATAGTCAATCGGCACAAACAGTGGAATTAAAGATAACCTTAGAGTGCTATGTCAGTTAATTCATATTCATCATTTAATTTATTTGTTTAGGTTAACGTTCGTACTTCGGGTGAATATTTTGACTTGTGATGAATCTGACTGGTAAAAACAGTTGATTTATCTTGAACTGTGACTTCATTGCTGCGGTTCTGTTGTCATGACAATAAGCCACTATGTTACGCCATCTCATTTAAAAATCGTGCAAGTTTTTGATTATCCTCTTAATGAACAAGATTAACAGAAGCGGCCATTCAGCAAAAGTACCGAAGGCTACAAACTATATATTTAACAAAACATATAGGCATATAATCTCAGATTTTCAAGATTATTAAAAGCGGCAACGTGAAGCACCTTTGAGACAAAGCACAAATTAGCACAAGTAGGACAATGAAATTAGGTAAAACCTCCTTACCTGTCATTTGACAGAATACAATGTGACTAGATTAATGTGCAGATTTTACTTCTGGCACAGGCCATTTCAATTAAAGTAGAGACTTAGAATTCAGAATGTACTGAGAGCAGAACATAGAATTTACTTAATAGTTTTTCTTTTATTATGATTGTTCAACCCAAGATTGTGGAGGTTGTGCAAAGAGTCGTAACATTGTGTCTAGCGGAACCTAATGTAGTTACAAGGAACCTGTTGACAAAGCTTATTAAAGTAAATGTTAGTATTTTAACTGCATTGCCAGAATTCAGTCGGAAATACAGTAGACCTACACCTTTGAAGGACTGCAGTATAAGTAATGTTAATGTTTGTGAGTTGTTACAGTTCATCATATTTTCCGTGTGTATTTTCAACTATTCTGTAGATTCCAAACATTCAGACGAGAGGAGGGTGGCGGACCAGCCCGGAGACGCAGATGTAGCACAAGACGACAAATAACCTTCAGAGTGTCTGTGCTGAGGAGCAGCACATTGACCTGTTACAGGTCTCATAGGGGTAATCTCTGTTTTTATTAGTTTGCTAATTTACGTGGACAGATCTTTGTTAAAAAAACAAAAACAGATTTGTTGTATAACCAGTTTTTTTGTTTCACCATCTTTTACATAGTGGTTCATGACATTTTGTCTTGCTTGTTATTAGTAATAAGAACTTTGTTACGTTGTTAAAACTTTGAGTAATATATCTTTTTTTACGCAGATGCTACTCCTCCCTGTCGGGTCGTCGTCCCTTTAGACCTTGACGAACAGGAGTTTGTTCAAGTCCTTCAAGAAAACATCCCCGCGTTGCCTGAACACTTTGAGCTTTGCCGAGTCAATGGGCAGCGCAGCATAATAGTGTTGGAGGAGCAGTGCCCAAGGGACATACATGCCCAGAATGCCCTAGGGCGCTCTTGTCTCTACCTACGCCCCAAGGTATGCAAATATGTGACACAGCGCTAGTGTTGTAGTTTTTGGTCTGGTTTGTAGTATTTTCGTGTTTTTATTCCTGTTATGTTCTTCCTCTTGTGTTTTTGTTGTTTAGACCTCCCAGTCTCCACATTCTTGTTCCTTGTCCATGATTATATGGTGTTAAGCATACACCACATACATAAGGGTGCAAAATTAAAGACAACATATAACAATTTCCCCAGGCCAATTAAATTGTCTTCAATTTTGCACCCTTATGTATTTTGTAGTATTTTGACTTCTTGTTTCTTATCTAGCTTTTTTTCCTGTTAATGTTGATTATCTGATCTTGTCTAACAATTTTTCTGTCTTTGGGATTCTGTTTCTGTTGGGGATTCTGTATTTTGGTTCTTGCTGGCCTTCTCAGTTTGTATTATTGCTTTTTGTTGGATATTTGGTTCATTTCTCAGACTGCCTGCCTCACCTCCATTTAAGTGGATTACCCCTTTTAGTCCTATTAGTTCGCTTCAGATGCTACTTGCCTTTACTTATAAAGATATAAAGTTGTGGCTGAAACTGTATGAGCCTTCACATGCATATTAATGTTGTTCATCATTTCATTTTAGGATGTTATGTCAAACCCCTCCATACCAGTGGAACAAACACCAGCTGCACCACCAATTGCAGTTGGGACAACTTCTCCTGCTCCATCTCCACCAATCCACACCTCTTCTCCTGCTCCATCTCCACCAATCCACACCTCTTCTCCTGCTCCATCTCCACCAATCCACACCTCTTCCTGCTCCATCTCCACCAATCCACACCTCTTCACCTGCTCCATCTCCACCAATCCACACCTCTTCTCCTGCTCCATCTCCACCAATCCACACCTCTTCTCCTGCTCCATCTCCACCAATCCACACCTCTTCTCCTGCTCCATCTCCACCAATCCACACCTCTTCTCCTGCTCCATCTCCACCAATCCACACCTCTTCTCCTGCTCCATCTCCACCAATCCACACCTCTTCACCTGCTCCATCTCCAGCTCACAATCATTTCTATATATCCTCCGCACCATCGAGCCCATACCAGGAGGGAACTGAAGAGTAAGTACACATTTTCTGAAGATACTGTAACACCCTTATAGTGCAAGTTGAAGGTGTGACAAAAACCTGGAGAACCACTGGTTTAAATGATTGTAATTTCAGCATTTTTTCTCTATCAATACAGAGCTTTTGACATCGCTGTGGCACTTCGATCCCTACAATCAAGGGTTCACCATCTGGCTCCCACAGCCAATCAGATAAATGTTCTTCGCAATGAAGAATTTGAATGTGCCGAGAGAGCCTTCCGGCGACCAGCCTTCAATCCACAGTCCAAGCTGGACATCGTTTTCATAGATGAGGATGGTCAAGGAGAAGGTGCCATCGACGATGGTGGGCCAACAAGGGAATTTTGTAGGTTGCTAATGCAACAACTCCAGGAGCATCAAATATTTGAAGGGCCTCTTGAAGCCCGTACCCTGGCCCTTGACAGTGTTGGTATGTTTTTTTGTTTGTTTTTTTTCTTTCCAACAATGTCAGGAAACATACTCATTTAATGTATGTCCACACTCCACAGCTTTATTTAACATTACTTTGATCAATTTTAATTGTCTTTCTTTTATAGCTCTTCACAACAACACTTATAGACTTGTGGGCCAAATGTTGGCAGTTTGTCTCATCCATGGAGGGGTGTCGCCACACTTTTTTTCCAAGAGGCTTTTTAATCAAGTCTGTGGTCTTCCACCTAGTCCAGCAACCATTGAAGAGGTGGTAGACCACAGCCTTAGGGCAAAACTGGAGAAGGCAAGTTTGGAAGTCATTACACACTTTACACACCTGTCTCTGGCCAATAAATGTTCAAGTATTTGGTAGTGGCTACTCTCTATTTCTTTTTATAATTTCAGATAAGCAGTGCAGTAGCGCTACAGGATGCAAGGCAGGCTGTCAATGAAGCGGCCGAAGAGTTGGCAATGATGGGAGCCCTACGGCACCTCCGCTCGTTGGACCACAGGGGGGAATTGATGGAAGCTGTCCTCCAGTTCCACTGTGAAGGCCGAATCTATGCAGCCCTCCAACAGTAAGTTGTATATTACAAACAGAAAATGTTAATTGACATCAACTGCAGCAAAGCAACTTTACTAGAACCTTGGTGTTCAAATTACAGTAGTGGGATTTCTCCTTGAGTTGCTATTGACACGTGAAGTCAAGTTATTTTAAATTAACTAATCACAATATTAAGTACACCATTTAAAGTAAATGGTTTCAGGGGAGGCTCGGTGACTGGAACTGAAACCACCATATCACCAAGTGAACATAGAATAGCCTACATGTGTGAGTTTGGAGATACAGTAGTTTTTGGTTCCCCCATCAGAGTCAGAAACTAAGTCACTGTAGTCAGAAGTCATGCTATTTTGGCTCAAATATTAAGTGTCTATGGGATCAATTAATTTAATCAAGATCCGATAGGCATCCAGGAATTAAGCAAAGCTTACAAAGTAAACTAAACTAAAGACTTGGTGGGGGGAGCGCTGTTTCCGAAACTTTGTCTGAGGGGAAGCCCGCAGTCTAAGACTTTGAAAACCCCTTGCCCTAGGTGCATGGTGAGGGAGTATTGGAGAATCTTTAAAGGTGTGAAGAGGCAGGGCAGAGGCAAAAAAATTAATACCACAAATCTGATGACAGCAGGAAATGGTAGTTGGGGTCTGCTAATGTATGAAAGGGCATTGCTATTGTGTGTCACCCTGATGGTGTCTCTCCAGAGGTTGGTCAAGACAATTTTTTTATTGATTTTTGTTTTTTACGCACACACGTGTACAGACTTGCAGGCAGAAAACGATACAATTAAATTTTTATATACACACACAGTAGTGCCAATTCATAAGTTTATCTCATTGCAGTTTTCATATAGACAAGGTCTAGACCATACTCTTAGTAATATTTACAGAGACCCAGCAATAATAGAACATGAGGTAATGGTGTTTTACAATTTCTACAATCTTGGGTAACATTGTAAAAGAACAGAATTAAATTATTATTTTTTTGCATCAGATTCAAAGAAGGACTAACTTCACTTGGTGTCCTGGATGAAGTCACCTCACATCCACAAGACTTTGAAAAAGTCTTCCTCCAGGACACAACAACCCTAAAGGCCAGCGACATTGTGGGGGTGTTCCAGGCCAGATGCCGATCCCTCCCATCATCAAATAGGAGGCGGTTGGAAGCCAGGACCATTGTATTCTGGAAAGACTGGCTCCTGGAGGTGGAAGGTATGGGTCCCTGTGCTTATAATTGTGTGTGTGTGTGTGTGTATAGGTTTATTTGTGTTGTCATGTTTTTGGTAAGTCACGTGGATGGTTTCTGTATAGTTAATTTACACACCTGTTTAATGCCAGTGAGCAGATAACAGGTGAGTGAATGGGACGCTGCTGTTTTTTGTTTTTTTTGATGAACGCGGTGTTCTCTATAGTTTTGATTGATTTCTCACTATACGGTTTTCACATTTTAAGTTGCATATTTTCATCAAAAACCTAGAATATTTTTTTTTGAAATCTGCGAATTATGCAGCGAGTCCGACAAACGGCACCACAAGGCCCTACCTCAGCCTCTTGGTACTTTGTTTTTGCTTTTAAGAATAGTCTCTACATTTATCTTACAATCTACTACTGGCTGTGGCTGGCTCCTTCATGAATCCTCTTGCAACATAATTTATTTTTATATCTATATACAGGTGGACTTGCTGGACCAATCACACTGGAGCAGGTCCTAATTTTTGGAACAGGTCTCCGCAGAATCCCAGCAATGGGCTTTTCAGTGCAGCCTGAGCTGGCATTTTTACACCCTGAAGATGGACATGCCAAGTTTCCCCAGGCCAACACCTGCGCGTTGGTGCTACATCTACCCGTGGGTCAAACCTACAGTATATTCAAAACTAACATGGAGCTTGGGATAGGCTCTGCACAGCAGTTTGGGTTGGCCTAAATGGTGTCTATTTGTCTTTTCACTTTTGGAGTGAAGTTCTCAGGATTTGTTCATTTGTTCATAGTTGTTTTGTTTTTTTCTGTTCATATTTTCTGTTCACAAACCTCACATTAGTTTAGTTTTAAAAAAAGAAGTAAATTGTAATTGTCATGTATTGGTACAAAATTTGTATGAAAATGCTAACTTAATATAAATACAATATTATGTAAAATTATATCACACAAAGTGTAACCTATTTATTGTAGTTGAGTAAAAGTGTGGATAACTACATATATATATATATATATATATACATACACACACACACACACACTAGTATTATAGTGCTTTATTTCTTTTAAGAAGCAATTCAATTGTTTGTTTCAAATTAAACTGAACCAATGCTTTAATGGCCTGTTCCCATATACTCCCTCGTTCTGTCCTCATTAACCGACAGGTTTTGCACTTATCAAGTTACTTTTAGTGGCTACCAGTGTAACATTATTACCATGACCAGTTATGAAGTGCCCTAGGTTGTAATTGACAAATTGGGCAACTTTAATCCAGATCCAACTGTTTGTGGGTTTTGTTGTGCCTTTTCATGAAATTAATTATAATATAAATTTTAAATTATGCTATAGAGTTTTCGTTTTTATTAATCGAGTTTCAACAACTGCCTCTGATTGGTTATTCCTTGCCTAAAGTTGGGGTTAGAGTTAGCCAATCAGGCAGATTCGGAGGCAGGCCTCGACAGAAAGCCGGTCAAAGCAAGAAGTGTTTTCAGAACTACTAGCAAAAAGTTACTTGTATACGAAAACTCATCTGTCTAAAGTGAATTTGCATTTCCCAGGTAAGTTGATGTATACTTGGCCAGAACAATGTTTAACGTGGTAAAAATAAAGTTCTGTAAGTACTTATTTGCGACTCGTAATTGTTACTGCTCAGTTAGCAGATGAGGGAACGTTCATGCCGCCGCCATTGCTGTAAGTTAACATTAGTTTGAGCATCGGCTTGTAGCCTGGAATGAGACCTCGTGAGACCCCCTCGCTCATACCAGCATTGCGTTAATGTTACAACTAAATGGGATTTATCATGTTATGTCAAAAACAGTGTTAAGTTAAACAACATTTAGTTGTGCAGGCAGACTCTTGAATTAATGAAAAATATTAATTACCCTTCATAGCTTTTAGTGGAAACTTTTATTTTGTGTATTTGTAGTATTTTCGTGTGTATTTTGAGAATCTCAGATTCTGTGTACAAGAGGGAAACGGGAACTCTGTAAAGTAATTGTAAACCTCGTGATATTTTTGCATTTGGTCAAAGCCAAGTTGATGGGTGGGTGGTACCAAAGACACAGAAGAACTCTCAGTTGTCCTTCTAAACTCAATTCAGACAGACATCTGAAAGAAGTTATGGCTCGGAGGACCTTCATCTTGCGGTGCAGGCACATTCTTCAAGACTGTACACGGCGTCTGTTGATGGACGATGTTGGATCTGGTGTGCAACTCTTAACATTGACGAGGTATGTTGTGATAGGCATGCTCGAAAATGTCAAAGGATGATGCACTCTAAAACTATTAAGTAAAAGGCCTGCACACACTGCTGATCGTTATGCTATATTACAGTATACAGTAAAACAGTCTGCATAGGAATTGCATGGTGCCTGGTTATGCCAATATGGCCTATATCTCTGGCTCCCACCTCAATTCCATCACAGGACCAGGAACCGACACTAGGATCATGTTTGTGGACTTCAGCTCTGCTTATATACTGTTAAATTATTACAGGAGAAAGGGTTTAAGATGGTATTGTGTGTGTTTATGTATGTCAACTGTATGTTTGTCTACAACATAATCACTATAGCAAATTCCTTGTGTATGTAAAATACTACTTGGCAATAAAGCTCATTCTGATACCAATAAATGGGTAACCATTACGCTTTCTTATTTTCTCAGGCTAGAGACAATGCACAGAAGCCTCCAGTGGGCAAGGGGAAGACTGATCAATGTCACAGCTGCAGACCAACTTCTCAGCGACTTGGCTGAATTAATTCAGGAGGTCAGAATGTCTTCTCAGCCCGGGCAACAGGGTGAGCTCACAGTGTGTTGTCTTTTGTAAATTTTATTATTATTCTGTTTCTAGTACTGCAATCATAATGACTATGACTTGAACCGGATATGTAGTTTTTAGTGTTAGCATTCTTAAACTTCCAAAGAATCTATCCTTGTGGAAATATTTGCAATATCGAGTGTGTGTGGCAGCTTTGCAGTAAAAGTTTATTTTACATACTGCGCTTTTGATGTTGAGGTTTCATCAATATTCTGTGCTGTATAAGTTGATGTTAGGTGGCCTCAACTTGTTATTATTTTGGCTATAGCCTATAATGCCTTGTTATAGAAATGGAAAGTTTCTTTCTCCTATTAAGGTTATGCAAAAGTTATAGAAATACCTCAGAAAGGTAATTTAATAAAAATATTTCTAAAAGTTATTGAACTATATTATACCATTTTAAAAATTGTACTTATTGTGAAGTTAAGCAAATTTGAGGCGCAGGTTTTTGGGTGACGAGATTTGATAGTTTCTGCGTATAAGTATTCATTAATATAACATAACAATATTCCTGTTGTAGGCTCCAGAACATAACATTTACAATTATTTACAGTTTACACCAAATATTACAGTTTGGATGATCCAAATATTTACTGTAAATGTGACAAATATGCAAAAAAGGAAGAAATCAAGAAGGGGGCAAATACTTTTTCACCGCACTTTTAAATTTATTTTTAAGTGTGTTTTATTAAAAAGGACCAGACTCGAAGCTTAAGACCTTAGCATAAATGCACAGATATTTGCAAGCATGGCACTACCCCACAGTCCATGTGTTAAATTTAAGCACGTGCCATAGCTACTGATGTTTCGTCAGATAGCTTTTAAACCCAGCTTCATGTCAAATACTGAATTGTATAAATACTCACACGTCACAATTTGTTTGCAATCCACATTATGGTTTACACTACCAGACACAACTGTATTGATTATATGTTGTATATTTTCTGTATATAATATGTACACCTTCTGTATAATGTCTGTAGTGCTTGAGTCAGTAATGGCTGGAAGAAAATTATGTGTGTTAACATACTTGGCCAATAAATCTGATTCTGATGTCATTTCAGGTAGTTTTGGCTACCAGGCACCGCTGGTTTTGAGTGGAGGTAGAGGTCGACCACATTACTGTGTCACTCGGGAACAGCTGTCATTCTTAAGGTCATGTGGCTTCACTGCACCCCAGATGGCAGATATTCTGCATGTGTCTGTGCGTACAGTTAGACGACGTTTGAGGTAAGAGACTAGGATTTCCGTGTGATGTGATATAGTCACGTAAGATTTGACCCGTAAAAACACACACTTTTATATGTAATGTGTGTGCATATTGTTTGGTCATGATGGACATTAAGAGTAACTTATGATTGTGCTGGATTACATTTCTCTACCTTTTAGACAGTTACACTGCACTCGCGCTTCATTGTATGCAGACTTGACCGATTCTGCCCTAGATGAACATGTGCAAGACATTGTGGCTGGCAATGACCTAGTTGGTCCTGAGGCTGTGAGGGCATCGCTGCATGCAAGTGGACTCCGTGTGCAGAGAAGGAGAGTGCGAGCAAGCATGATTCGATTAAATCCTGGAGCTGCTGCGCTTCGAGCAGTTCTGCAGAGACCAGAGCGACGGTCTTATCAGGTGGCAGGTCCAAACTCATTGTGGCACATTGATGGAAACCACAAGCTGATAAGGTAACTACAGCAACAGATTTATTCAGCATTTATTTTGACAAAGAAAAGGAATGTTACATCAGCTGAACGTGTTTGCCATTTTTGCTATATCAATAGCCACCTTAATAATAATTTTTTTAATCTGGTTTTAGGTGGCGGATAGTTATTCATGGGGCTATAGATGGGTTTAGTCGCCTTGTGGTCTTCCTGCGTGCCTCCAACAACAACCGCAGCAGCACTGTGTTGGACAGCTTCATCAGTGCTGTGATCCACTATGGCATACCCTCCAGGGTCAGGACGGACAGAGGAGGTGAGAACAGCGCAGTCTGGCTGATGATGAACATCTACAGAGGCTTTGACCGTGGCAGTGCTCTCCGAGGCCGGAGTACCCACAATCAGAGAATTGAGAGGCTCTGGGGTGATCTCTGGCGTGGACTGACGAATGTCTATTATGACTTATTCCACCATCTGGAGAGCGAGGGCATCATTAATGTTGACAGTGAGAGGGACCTCTGGGCTCTCCATTATGTCTATCTGCCAAGGATCAACCGGGACTTAAACGACTTTACAAATCAATGGAATAACCATGGTTTGAGAACAGAGAGACACATGAGCCCACTACAGATTTTTGTTAGAGGCTGCCTTGAGCAACAGGGCCGACCATCAACTGCCATGCAGGACATCTTTGTGGCCAGTGCTGCTGGTGGTGGTGGTCAAGAAGCTGCTGCTGGTGGTGGTGGTCAAGAAGCTGCTGCTGCTGCAGCTGGTGGTGGTCAAGAAGCTGCTGCTGCTGCAGCTGGTGGTGGTCAAGAAGCTGCTGCTGGAATTCCTAGGACAGAAGAGCTGGAGTTGCTGCTAGACTGGCCAGAAAGACGGATTACTGTGCCTGACATCCAGTACATGTTGGAAGGTCCTGTAATGGAGGAAGTGCAAGCACGGTTCGACCCACTCAGTGGCCCCAGAGGAAATCATGGCATACAGATTATCCGTGATCTTGTATCCTTTTTGGATTCAGCGTTGGGATCACAGGGACTTCACAGATGAAGGTGTTCATATTTGATCTTAACTGAACTTTCTTTCATGTGAGTCATTGAACTTGCTCAGGAATCCCCAAAAAGGCAGTAGTGAAAAAGAAATGTATTGGGTTGGAGGCAGGGATGCCCATGTAGGGCTTTTGTACTTTTGACAACTTTTTCCACCACTGTGAAAGACGTACTTTGTAATCTATTAAAATTCTGTCCCTATTTTCCCTTTTAAATTCTTCCATCCACTAGATACAACGTGGATGGCACCACTCAGATGACTGGGAAGCCTATCTGTCCCCATCTCTTAAAAGAAGAGTATCACCACAGCAGCCCCACTGTGCGCATCCAGCCAGCCAGTTAAAGAGCTGAAGTTCAAACAGCCCCAAGAACTGAAGGTTTTGCCCAAGAACTTCCACTCACCCTACGATGGACTGGACCACGAGTGATGCCCGTCACCAGCTGGAGCCTCACGCAGACGCGCACACACACACACACTGATGTACTTAGGCTATATTAGTTACAGTTGTTCATTAAAATGAGCGTAATTATATTTTTGCATTATTTTTTAAATACCTTTTACTGGTTTTAATGGTTTTAACATAATTCCTAATTGTTCAAAGTATTAAGTCAAATATCTGGTAGTAGTCAAGACTCCAATCAATTGTCTCTCACAAATAGTCTGACAGATTCTTTATCCTGGTTGTTCATAATAATAATTTTGAATGTTGTGTGGTTTACACAGTAAAATAAATTTCAACCTTTACTGATTAAACCGATTTCATTTTGTCATTATCAGCCAACATTATTCACAATGTAAAGATAGCTTATTGATGATTAACATGATTTCAAAACAAGCATCTTATTATTTAGCTTAGGTATCATCAGAAGGTATGCTTTCACAAAGACTTCAGGTAACCTTTCTCAAATATGTCCATTTCGGAGGAAAGCAATTCAGCGTTTTTTAAAAACCAAGTATCTTAATAGCCTGCAGATGCCTTTTCAGGATCAGAAGGAGCTTTATTGTCAAGTAGTGTTTTACACATACGAGGAATTTGCTGTGGTGATAAGGTGCTACATGTAGACAAACATACAGTCAACATAAATAAATGTGGAAATATATAAATATGGAATAAGATAAGTTTTTGTAGCAACTTGTATAGTGTAGTGTTTTGGGGTAACATAAATATTATCGCAGGAGTCCGGAAGGATAGCTTTGGATAAATAAATAAAAGCCAGGGAATAAATGACAAGTTTTCCCTGAACCGACTGAAACACACGTTTGTGTCAGGTTGCCTTTGGCCTGGATTTAGGATGACATGGTAAAACAAAGCTTTGTAGAAACAAGGGTAGGCTCGCTATCAATACTACACCGACTGAAGGGCTCATAAAAAGACAAATGAGGCTTAAACTGTTCACTGATGACCATGTAAAGATAGTTGTTCCACTTATGGTGATTTCTTACTTTCTTTGTGTTTGTATGTTCTATTTTAGGAGATACTTTAATCTGACAGTGATGATAAATAAAATGCAAATTAATTATTTATGTCAAATTTGATCTAAAATCATCAATCACTAGATGTTACAAGCTATAACCTAGAGTAGCTAAATATTTTTAGTAAATGTAGTCAATTTACTTGATCAGTCTGGGACTTTTGTGTTGAGTTTTTCATGCTTGTCTGTGGTTACTTTATGCCTTTGAGTGGCTACGATCACAGTAAAGTAGATCAGTGCTGAATTAGTGTGGTCTGTTCTTCTTCTGTACTGATTGGGTGACAACAGTTCAAATTTAGTGGCTGTAAAATCCACAGGGCGGAGCTCATTATCATTGTACAAAACGCCGTTTTTTACGCCGTTTTGTTAGCAAAACGTGCTACAAGAGTGACGTTTTTTGGCACTAATGGCTTGCCATACTGGGAATGCATGCTCACACGCGGCTACAAAGTCGACACGGCCCGGTTAGAAATTTAGGCTAAATATCCACTCCTTGCCCACGCAAACACCGCCATACCAACTCCTCAAAACACCACAGTAGCAACAGACGTCAAATTTAGATGTGGTCACCGAGGTGAGACTCATTCCAACGTTCACACGGCTCGTCAATCGGTGGGGCATTTCCCTGGGTTGTGGTCACACACCTGGGACTGCAAAGTAGACAACAACACAGACTGCCACACTGCATACATGCTATTACACCAAATCCGCGCCATCCCTGACCTGTACTGGTCCAGTGGGAGTGGCCGGCTGGACCAAACTCAACGTCGGAATGATGGAGAGGTACATGCGCGAGAGTAGTATTGGCACTGGATGTCCTTATCATGCCATACGAAGCCTCACAGCCTCACAGGCAGAAATGCTCCAGCCTAGACTTTTTCTCCATTGATCCTAATGTGTTGATAGAGGCCATCAGGGAGCCCTGAGGGGTCCCAAATGAGTTTAGAGAAAGAAATCAAATCGCGACCATGTTTGAATCAAGTCTCTGTTGATGTGGGTGTACAATTAACAAAAAGATGGAGAATGGTGGATACTTTTGTTACAATTGACCGTCAAAGTATGTGACTGTGAAATATTGCGATATTAACATGTGATTGACCGAAAGGCAAATTGAATTAATTTTAATGAATTAATTCACAAATAACGCCAAAACTCTTCATTATCAATTTCTTTCTGGTGACATGGCCATTAGATTGGTGAGTAATGCACACACTTGGAAAAAGCTATCTGATGGAACCAGGCAACAGTTTTTCAAAACAAATGTCTCAGACACAAAAGTAGTCCTGCAAAGAAACATTCACACTTGTAGCTTTCCTAGATGTCCTTGTTTAGTCCCACAAGTTAATCTAGGAGATATTATAGATACCACGCTATAGGTCAGTTATGAATATGTTATACATGATATTTGATAACTGAGGTTCTCATCCAGGATGAGTACAAATACAGATGTTTGATCCCCTGCTTGTTCATAACTTAACAATGTCTGTGTTCTGCAAAATTGGCCAAGACTAATTTTCTATAGTCAATTTTCTGTTCTTGGATGTCCATATATGGCCAAAAGGAGGATTGTTATGGCAGAAAATTGTGTCCTCTTACATTTAATCTTTTATGTATGATCTTTTAATATTATCATTATTATTACTATTATTGTTATAGATATGTATTGTGTTTTTATCCTTAACCTTTCCTCTCCTATACACCTTATGTTGGTCTGTCCACATTTTCTAGGGTTTAGGTCAGAGCTGTGAGATTGTTTTGGTGTTTTCCTCTCTTGTTCCTCTCCTCTCATGGAATGTTCATTCAAGGCCGAGAGAGGATCTCTGTTCCCCAAAACATAGAAAACGTAGACTGTGTAAATGATAATGCATCCCTCTGCTTGGGGCCAGACGGCCGATGACGCAGTAGGTGGCAGGTCTCTGGACCAGCTGTATATGTGTTTTAGTACTTCTCTGTTTATTCTCTTTTGTTAAATAAATTCTTCAAAGACAACGGTTGGTTGTTACTCAATTCTTTGCTCAACCCCTCACCAGGAAGTTTGGGAAGTTCCCTGGACATTGTAGGATTTATTATGCTTGTTAACAATCTTGAACAGTGCCATCACTGCATTTAGTAAATCATGGAGTTATTGCAGAGTACTGCCCCCGATTTGTTTGGAGTATGTGGCCAGGAATTACACATTTTACCTTTTAAAATAAAATTACAGTGAGAATTACACAAAAATCACAAGTATTATGTATTTAATAAAATGTAGCAAATATAATGAAACTGGCAGGATTGACAACAGATGTTTCTGGACAAAGTAATAGTCTTTTTTATTTGAATCAATTGATCACATATTAATAAACCAGAAATATGGTGTAAGATAAACAACAACCTGAAATAACTATTCCCAACAAACAGAAAGATTACTGTTGAGCTGCCAGATGAGGACCAGGATGGTTCTTGATAAACGAATTTCTGAGAAAGAAAATTCAAAGGTTTTAGCCTATTTGTTGTACAAGTTTGCAAAAATCATAAATCAAACATGCAAATAACTGTCCATTGTGTAAGGCCCATGTAGATGCATTTGCACCTGTTTCATTCATCAGGAAAACACAAATGCTTGGTTTTGTGTCTTTAGGCACAGGTTTGATTGAAGAGTAGATAGAAAACACTGTCAGAGGTCGATCTACCATTTGTGGGATCATCCTTTTACTTGAAAGGTCTGAAACCTGAAAGGGTTTTTAAAAGACATTGTGTTAATGCTTTGAGTAGAGGAGTCAAAGGCTGGGGCTTTCCCAGGTATTTGTTTAATTTGTAAAGCATCGACTCTACCACCCTGCTTGAACCAGAAACAAGATGAGACACGCACCCAGTAGCCTATATGAACAGGAAGAAGACACGCATACCTAAAAATGACTCCGATGAGTTGATGATTATTGACAATAATGTGTTTTACTTCACCACATCACAGGAAACTGTGTAGTCCGACACTAAAGGAGAACTCCACCAATTTCACATGTCAAAGCCAATTTGTTAGTCATGGCGAGTAGGCTACTATTCAACCTGTGAGATCAGTTGTTGAAAACAGTAATGGGGTTTTTTTTTGTGATCAGGAAGGGCTTTGAAAAGTATGACAAAATTACTCAAATGACATCAGTTAATTAATCTCAGTTTTGGCTGGTTGGCTGAAATTTGCCTTTATTTAAAAGTGAACAGTAAAGTAAAGAGCTGCCAGGAAACATCGCGTCCCTGCTGCTTCAACTTTGACCACTTCAGATCTGTCGCTTGCAAGTCCCCTAACATTTGTAAGTGCAAGTCTGAGTTGCTGGAATGCTTTGTAATGTTTCCTACTCTAATAAATTGGGGCTTGTGGCTTATAAGTAAACCGGGTCATCCACTAATCAGAAGATCACAGGCTCAATTCCTGGCCTTTCTTAGTCTGTATGTTGAAGTGCCTGTGGGCAAGATACTAGACCCCAATTTGCTCCTGGAGGCTGTGCCGTGTGTGTGAATGAGCATTAGTTTCTTTTTTGATGAGCAGTAGGCTCCTTGCATGGCAGCCTCTGCCGTCAGTATTAATGTATGAATGTTGACATGTGTAAAGTGCGTTGAGTGGTCAGAAGTATAAGAAGAAAGGCGCTGTATAAATGCAGTTCATTTACCACTCAACATAAAATATGTGAAAGCTGAAAAGAAAATCATACAATGTGATTCTTAAATATACCTCTCACAGCTAAATGTCTTTGTTTATTTTTCAAGTTGATTTTGGGAGAGAGAGAGAGAAATAGAGACAATGGGGTATGACACTGCAAAAAATGTTCTTGGCTGGAATCCAAATAGGGATTTTGAGGTTATTTTGTAAGCATATTAACTATTTTGGCTATGAAATTTGGCTTTAAAAATCTATTAAAAAGCAGTGTTACACACATGATTTTGGGCAGTTTTAATATTTGTGTACATGACCGCTTGCTTCTCCACATTAGAACCAATGGAATTTTAACAAATACATTTTTTTATTTTGTATTTTTTTTTTCCAGTTGACTGACCTCTGAGGACAGTGCATTCAGTACAAGCTGCTTGAGAGCTTTCTTGTGCTGACATTTGCTTTTTTCTGTCAATATTATCAAAGTACTGTAAGTAAATGTTAACTGTCAAAACAAGTACGAGTACAGTCTGTACTGATGGAAGATAATTATCTTTACGTCATACAGTGGGTGGATGAAAATCTTTTCTTTTCCACTCTGATCTTTATCTATTATGAAGCTGTGCTTTTGAGATTTTGGGTTTTGTTTGTGTATCACTGTACACCTGTGTGCTTAAATGTGTGAGGTGTTAATGACATCCTGATACACAGTGAGTTGGCACTGCCTAAAATCAAATTCCATGGAAAACACCTACTAATGATAGTGGCACACACCCTACTATCATGAGCAAATAAGTTACTTATGCTACAATCCAGTATCTGTTCATACATGTGTGAGATCTTTTATCAGGCCTAATGACTTGTTGACCTTTGAGGGTGTGAAATAAGCAGGTGGAGTTGGGGACAGGAAGCCACCCCTTTAACCACAACCACAACAAATTTAAGAGCTCACTACCCTTCTATTGTCTTGGTTGGCATCTTTGTGTTTGTAGTAGTTAGAGTTAGTTTTCACTCACTCTCCCTGTTTTGCACACAATGAACAGCCATACTGCCACTTAATTACTTAAAGCACTTTCCATTCTCTCCCACAGACCAGAGGTCTGTCATTACTATTGGCTCTGGAAGTTATTGGTGGACAGACATTCACTGGCACAACCACAAACACACACACACACACACTGCCTTTTAAGTGCCAGTTCAGACATATTTAGCGAGTTTTCAGTTGTTGGTGTGGTCACTCTCAGAGTTTTAGAAATCAGTTCATCTGTCAGTCGTATTTTTCATTAATCCATTAACAGTTCAGTCTATAAAATAGCATCCAAAAAAGCCCATTGCATTTCCCCAAAGTGAGTTCTTCAGATTGCTTTTGAGAAAACAGTTTCAACACAAAGGTCCATGTAGTAGCTGCTCTGGAGCTTTTGATCTTCATCAAAAGATGAAATTTGCCCATATGTAGTGAATTTGTAGATGTTCAAACTTTCATTTTTTCCGAGCACTTTAAAACCGCTGTAATTTAAATTTTTACAACAAGAAAGTATCAAATGACCATATGAAAACAGTGACAGTGTGAAATATGTGTGGCAAAACTACAAATAATTATCACCTGAAATTGCAGCTCCTCTCGGCTTAACGGAGCCTCATAGCGAACCATTTTGCTGCTCTCATAGTGTTGTTTTCAGTCGCAGCAGTTAATATTAGACATTCACCAGGCAGACATAAACGACTCCAAATGAATAATAATGTTGCTCTATAGCAACAGGACAAACTCCATTTGTTGATGAATATCATGTTACGTTTTAAGTATTGCTTGCTTTGTCCAAACTCAATGATATATTCATTTTAGAATGACAAAAGACAGGAATGTTTAGCAATTCTTCCTTGATAATTGACTTACAGTAACATAAATGTCATTATCCCAGACTAAACCTACAAACTATCCCCTTTTGATCAAAGCCTGCAGGAGCAAAAAGATAAAAGAAATAAACTCACTGACTAGTAGAGGTGGAGAGGAGGCAGCTGATCTTTAATGCACAGACCTTTGGTTGGTATCCTCATTTCCTTCTTCACCCTTGACCTCTAACTACTTCCTCCTTTCTAGAGTGTGTCCATGAGCTCTGGAGAAGGAGTCAGTAAAACAATATGTCTACACAAATCAAAGAGAGGGGACTTCCGTTAATAGGTGGAAATCGCTCTCCGGTTGGCTTTTTAAGTGTCTGTCTGAGAGGACAAAGAGCAGCAGGTCAGAGGTGAAGAAGGTCAACGGCAGACAGGAAAACATAAAATCCACATCTGAGGTTGCACTTCTTTAAGGATAACGCATTATACACACACACACACACACACACACACACACACTCACTCAGCTGGATAGCAGTCTTTACTTCCAATCTTCTTATATATAATCGGCTGATAATGCAGCTGGCTGCTGTCACTGAGAAAGTAATTAGAGACTGCTGCAGGAAACTGGAGGGACAAGCCTTATACTTGGATGCCGCGTACAATCACTCCACCTGTGTGTATGAAAATGAGAGAAAGAAGAGTCTTTCATTGTGAGTGTGTGGTGGTTTAACCTGAACCAGCAGTGGATGGGAATGACTAAGCAGTGTGATTCATGCGCAGTTTAATCTGCCAAGTGTATTATGACATAAAGTCTAAGATGACAGCTAAGTAGTGCCATTTCTTTTTAGTCTGAATGCTCTGTTAGTTATTCACACTAATTTTATAAAACAAATTTGGTCTATTATTAACCACTAAAAGTCTTGTTCCATCAAAGAAAATAAAAAAAATCTTCTAACGATCTAACCTTCATGCTTTGGAGGAATTTTGCCTCTCAAGAACTTGCAACACTGTTGAACACTACTGATAAAACTTTAACAGGACAGAAGAAAATGTACAGACTGTACCTGACAAAGGGTTTGAAACTTTGCACCTTTTCTAATTGATATCGACATTTTAAAGGGGGTCTTTAATAGTGTCAGTGCAAGTCCTTAGGAGTTAAAGAATCACAGTTTTTTGGACTCAGCACCTGGCACGAAAGATGTGCATATATTTTTTCGTCTCTTTCACTCACTGATTGTTGGCATCTTGAAAGTATAGTTTATACTGGTTGGAAATACTCATTTTAAGAAAAAAAGATTTTTAGAACTCAATATAAGAAAATAAATGATTCTTTTTGCAGTTTTCATTCACAATCCATGTCACCACACACACACACACACAAGTAGGAATGTTCCTACATCCGTCTCCTTCCCCACATTAAAAGTCATGTTTCATATTCTTCAAGGCAGCACGACACAATCTAAAAAGAAATGATTTATTTATGGTGCATAAATACAGTACAGTCGTGTTTACAAGGTTGACTGGAAAAGTTGATCAGAGGTAGAATAAAGTACCGCTCTATTATCATAATCAGTCTTCATTTCTTTGAAATAAACAAGTGGTGCAAGAAGTATTTGGGTTCTTTGCTTGAATAAAACAATATATTACAATGAAAGTTCACGCTCTACAAACAAGACATTATTCTCAGGTTCCGAGATTCAAAACTTTGAAACAATTTCAGGGCAACATTAATGTTTCATGTGGTTGTTTTCAATGTTTGTATCTGTTAAGTGGTCATGTTATGGTGTCCAACTTGAGCTGTCAACTGTGCACTGACTGTATTATAATCTTATCCTGTTTGTTAATTAAAAAGTCAAAACAGAATATTCAAAAGAAAATGAGTTAAAGTACAGAAGATTTATCAGCAAATTGTACTTCAAGTTAAAAAGTTAAAGTCCGCACTGAGTGGTCACCTTTGGAGTGTTATGTCTTATACTTTATTTTGAATTATTGGATCCTAATGCAGTGCCATGTGAGAGGCATTTTAATTGGTCAAGGTGGAGCTAATTTTGTCTACTTTATGACCTGTGGGGTGTTTATTTGTAACAAAAAATCACATTTTATAATATCACGTTTTGGATGAACATTTAAATCTGAAACTTACACTACCAGATAAATGTAGTGAAGTATAAAGAAGCATAAAGTAGCATAAAATTGAAATAGTCAAGTGAAGCACAAGTGCCTATACTTGCTTTTCACCACTGGTGATAAATTACTGCACTTAATGGAGATAAAATAGTATCTTCCGCTCAGATTGGCTGAGTCACATTCAAAACATCTGATAAATACCTGATAAAATCCACATCTGCATAAGTAATGTAACACGTGTCATTCAGGTGTGTGTGGTCACTGAAAACCATTCAGTTCACGTCTGTAAAATGCGCACTCTGGAGAGAATATCTGACGATTATTATTATTTTTTGACAGATGCTAAAATAAAACCTGCACTCAGTCTGATAATTTCCACATCCGCTCCTGGGATCTGAAACTAACAGTCGTCACTTTGCAGCATGGAGAAGAAGAAAACGCACACACTGGCCCACGAGCTGCTGCAATGCTCTTCAGCCGTTTTCCGGTGGTCCGCGCGTTTTGTGCATGCTGTCGGTCCGGCCGGAGCCGCGGTGGCGGAGGTGGAGAGAGGCGGCAGGGGGTGGGGAGTCTCCGGTTCTCTCGACTGAGACGACGTTACAGAGGCGGAGATGTCCAGCTTGAAGTGCGCATCCTTTGGCGCGCGCTTACACATGCCAGCCCTAACCATCGCGCGCTCGTCCTTGCACACTTTGCCTTGGAGCTTTTTTAATGCGCGGGCCACCTGTTTCCAAAAGCCCTTGGGGTCAGACTGGTATCCCGGGCAGCTCTGAGGTTTGGCGTTGTATTCACACTTCATCATGCGCCCCTCCCGGTTCTCGCATTTAACCGACAGCCTGACCGTCTCCCCGAAGTCCCTCGTCCCCCACGTGCACTGCATCTTGTCCTTGGTGGAGAACTTTCCTCGGCCGCTCGCTTCAGATTTACTGCCGCTCCTCTGCGCTCTGCCGGGGGCTGGGGTCACGGTCTTGTCCGCTCCTCGGTTCTTATTGCGCGCGCCAGAGGAAAGAGACACCTGCTGACCGAGGAAGACCAACAGCAACCAGGGTGCGAAAGTCCTCAGCAGCAACATTACTTCTTTTACCAGACGATTTATTATCTGGAAGGACAGAGGATTGTTAAAAAGAATATGTTCAGTGCTGGAAATAATCAGGTCATCAGGTACAAAGCAGTGTTTAAAACGAGTTATAGGCTGCTCACAGAAAAGAAATCATAGGTAGACCGACAAAGGTTTTTATGCCAACATATACGCATATAAAAAGGTGCCATCAAAACTGAGTCCCCGAGCCTAGAGTAAATTTAAAGATTGCTGTGAAAAGTAACGAGGTCTTACTACAGTATATAACACATAAAGTGCATCCAAGAAAGTCAAATAAAGCCTCCAGAGTCTAACTTACCAAAAAAGTGCGTAAAGCTGCTTATTGTGGCTCTCTGTGGCCTCGCACATGGCTTTCAAGCATATGCTGCGGCACGCCTACCATTCCCGCCCAACACACACACACACACACACACACACACACACGCATCTCCATTGAGAAAAATCTTGGGAAGAAGGAAATGTGTTTTGTTCTGACCTGAACCGTCCAAGCCGCACTCCCGCCTTCACACCCCACACACTTACACAAGACTTGGAGGCTCGACTCCGACTTTCCACCAATCGGCTGTTGCATTCAACCATGAGGAGATCCTTTCTTTTAACTTCCAACATGTGGCTTGACTTGTGTTGCCAAAGCAGAGGACAGAAAATACTTACAGCTACAAGATAAAGTATGAACGTGATCATAATTGAAGAAGTGCATTCTTATGGAAGCTTTGAAATGCCTAAACAAAAACAAATCAGAAGTGAGATACAAAATACATTGTTACATATATGTTGGCCAATCTGCAAGTTCTTATAGGTCATTTAATCTGCAGTATCTTAGTTTGGATTAATGTTGTATTGATTTTAATTCAACTTTATTGTGAAAATCCAATGTACTAACATGTCCAGGAGGCAGGGGAATCTAAGAGATTAAATGAGTACAAGTAAGTATAGAAATAATTATTATCCAAAGACCTCAGCCAATTCCTGATCAATGTTTTATTCATATTTGCATGATGCTATTGCCTATTGACCAAAGTCACTGAGCCAAAAGCCTTTCAGTCTAAAGTTTTGCATACTTCTCTACATCTACCACTTAAAAACAGAATGATAGCAAATAGAAACATTACCATTCATACTCCACTCATAATCTACAATGTAAAATGTACATAAATTGAATATTCAAACTTACATAATGCGATAAAAACATAAACATTTTTACAGATGTGCTCAAGAGGCACTTACACTTTTTTTTAGGTTAGAAGGATAAATATTTGTCTTTTAGAATTGAACATATAGGTTTTCGTGTTGACACAAATATTGTCTCTCTGTTTCTTTTGACTTGAAAGGCTGCCTGTCATAGCTGTCATCAGTTTGTGTCAGCAGAACTAAGCTCTGCCATCAAGCTGTGATTGGACAGTTGATTATTTTTTATTTTGGCATGGACAACGGAGAAAGCTCCCTTGCACTATGTCATGAAAAACGATGATAGTGCTTTGTCTCTGGTGTTTAGTTTGTTTTCAGTACCAGGATGCATTGCACACAAGCTTCTGACACTGACGCCCATCCAGTAAGGCCACCACGGCTCTGAGCAAGCTAGCTGCTGGGTGCTAAAGTGATGCAATGTTGCCAAGCAAATTAATTAATTAATTTTCCCATTTCCTTATTCTTACCATTGTCTTCCTCGAACAACTCTCTCTTTTGCTCAAGGACAATTTGTTGTTAGACACCTGGTATAACAGTCTGAACTTGTTGGTGACAAAAATAAGCACTGCCCCAAAGGAATACATTGCAGCGTCTGCAGCTGGTTTGCGGCTGCTGGCTGAAGCCGTCTACTGCACGGATCTTCTATACCTACTAATCATTTCGACACGTGAAAATATATCCTTTAAGACTGCTATAAGAAAATGTCTACATTGTTCTCTGAACAAATAGGATTCTTGTTTTTTTTTGGGCTAATTTGGGATTGTTTGAGAGCTGGAGAGAATCAAACACTGGAAGTAAAGGTGACTCTTGATCTCAGAAAAGCCTTAATATAAGCGAAATTGTTCAATTCAAGGCCTTGAAAACAGTTAAATACTGTGTTTTAGAATAGTCTTAAATAGCTGACATTTTGACTTGTCAAAGTGGTAAAAGCACAGGTGTTACTAATAACATTTTCTGTCCCTGTAAGCCATGACAGTGGCTGAAACATCCAAATGCAATTCAGCCATCTTTAATTTTCATTATTTAAAAGTATTTTTCCTGCTGGGACATGTTTTCATAACATTTTCTTGCAATCTTTTCTGCAATTTCCTGGCTGTTCTGGTGAAAAGATAAATACATTGGCTATGACTGTATTTCCGATGAGACCACAGTTGCTTTGTTTTCACTGCTGACATTGGCCACATTGTCGATTCCAACTGCCTTTGTTCTGTCACTGTTATCTATCCAACAGTAACACATTTACCAGATGTCAGCTCCCTCTCCCCCCATGAACTCTTAGTTGGTTCTCCTTCCTCCTCAGATATCCTGTCATTAACTCAGTGAGCTCCTTTATGCACTCAGCTCAGAAGGGACATCAGTAGAACTCATCTTAGTTGATAGCCTCAGTTTTTTAAAAGCTGTTGACACATTGCATATGCATTTGTTTTTTCCTTTAGCATCTTCTAACATGCATTGTATCCTATTTTTTACAGTAACTCGTTTTTGTGAATTTTTCATTGAAAAAGTCTGTAATTCTAAATCACTTGAAATATGAACAAATCAAAGTTTTAAACATTTCTTTCAAATAAATGTTTATGATCGACAGACATAAAGTTAAAACTGCTGCCCCATACCAGCACTTTCAACTGGTTTTCTCAGCTTGTCTCTACATTATATATAAATAAAATTATGTTACTGTAAATAAAACATGCTCAGTGACTCCACAGAGACTCATAAACAACTGATGTTATATATAGAGAGAGCAGAAGTCAGTGACTCAGCCAGTGTCAAACATAGGTGTAACTAATAATATCATAATCGACAAATCCAGTCCACTCAGGTGTTCCAGTTTATGGACCCTGTTGCTTTGTGCTTCCTGGTTCACTGGCATGACTTACTGAAGATCGTTCAATGGAACAGAGCAATCATTAATGTTAGTAGTTCCATCTAAAACACAATGCTTTTGCTGCAATGAGTCAAAAGTCAAAATGTTTGCTCTGAAAAAGGTCCACCAGCCTCATTTCCTCCATAGAGTGTTTCTTTAACCACCCTTTTGGGTAAGTTGAAACACAATGATTTTAAGATAAATGGGTCCTTCCTCTAGAGACAGATCAGATATTGTTTGTTCACAATTTGGGTCAAACCAAGCTGACAAAATGACAGAAAGGCTCCACAAAAAATCTCATGTTTGGATTGGGCTACAGGAATGTAAGTTGATAGAAATGGCTTGTATTTGTTTCAAGAAAACTACAGCAAGGAAGAAGAACCTTTAGGACACAAAACCAAACACAAGCCAATATGTCGACATAAGTGTTTACACTGAAGGAACTGAGCACTCAATTATACATTAATAACTTGAAATAAATCGTAACTTATATTATGAATTAGATTTTTTTTGATGCTATGAAGTTGACCTACATATGGCATATAGTTGGTACATTTATTCAAGTACTGTTTGTACAAATTTTGAGGTACGTTTGACTTTATAATTCAGAGGGAAATATTTTACCTTTTACTCCACTAGTTATCTGATTGCTTTAAAAGATTTTTACAAACAAAATACAGCTGAAACGATTAGTAAATGAATTGATTGACAGACGACTGTTAATCATTTGGTAATTTATTATGCAAAAAATTTAATGGGTTTAGTGTCACGATCCGGTCCTGAGCTTGTCTGGGTTATATTATTTTGGCCATGCCTTCTATGTGTTTTGATTTTGGGTTCTCTGTGTCTGGGATTCAGTCCTGTCTGTCTGTGGTCTTGTATCCAGTCTTCTGCTTGTTCTGTGTGGTGGTTCTGATCTGTCCTGTTATCTCGGTGTCTGCCTTTAGTACTTGTTTAGTTCTGTTCCTGTCCCTCATGTGTTAGATCTCTGCCATCATGCTTGGGTTCTGTCTGTTTGTTAGATGTCAATTTATGTTCTCCACCAGTTTCATTAATTAATCTGATTTTGATCATTTTGCTTTAGTCTCTGTGTAGCCTTCATTATTTCATTCATCCACATCTTTAAGTTACTTCGTATCTGCCTTGTCTCGTATCCTAGTTCCAAGTTTGGTGTCTTAGTTCGTAGTCCTGTACCTTAGTTCATGTCTTAAGTGTTTACTCCTGGTCTGTATACTTCCGTGTTTTGCCCGTGTCTGCTCTTTTATCTTTGCTTCAGTTTGTGTTCCTTGTTATTAGTGTATTCGTATTCTGTCTGCTTGTGTCTGTCTAACACACAATTTTACAACAAACACACTGTCTTATTGTGATGGCATTTTCTCACAAATTTTTACAAACCAAATCAGTGGATTATTCCAGAAAACAATCAGCAGATTAATCCATAATGAACATAATCATCAGTTACATACAGTAAAACATTTGCTCCACATCACCTCAACCAACTACAACAGTAAAATACTGCTTTTACATCAATGCATGAGTAAACTAATAAATATCTAATGAAATGATGTCAAATAGTATAACAGGAGACATTATTTTGCAAATACTTTTAATACTTTAAATACATTTTCCCGATTATACTTATACATTTTCCTTCAGTAACATATTTCAATGCAAGAATTTTACTTGTGGTGTTTTTACTTAAGACCCAAATACTTTCTCCATTACTGCTAACAGCAGATTCTGATTCTACCTGAGGTTAAATGAATGTGTTCACCCCACCCTGTCATCACATTTCATCAGTTATGACGCAGCTGCTGCAGGTTGGAACAAAGACATCATGCAAGTCTCACATGGGCAAGTGTCCAATAAGTTACAGTAGTTTATCATTGAGTCGCTGTGTCAGAAATAGTAGTAGAGGATTTACTGTAAGTAAACAGTAGGGAGGCTGTGAGTGTGTATGTGTCTGTGTAACTTGCATTATGGGGATGAGAGAGCGAGCGAGAGAGAGAGAGAAATATAAAGCTTCCCCTCAGCTCAGATATTTCCGTCTCTGCTCGGTGCAGCACCATCTTGTGGTTGCCGGAGTTTGATTAATTGACACTGACCAATGAAGCTGTGTGTGTGTAAATGGTCATAGGAAACAATATATGTCTAGACAGGCCTGTATATATTCCTCACATGATGTAAAAGACACCTTTCAAGTTGCGGGTAATTTGGGTAAGACACATAATTTGCTCCTTTTGTTTTGGTTTATTGCTACGCTCCCTTGCAGTATTTTGGATCACACAATAAAATGTGTGCACATTTAGAAAGCTTTGTTTTGTGCACTTTTACTTAATTGATGTGTTTTGCTGATTTTCTCTTCTGAATAAAGACATTATAAACTTATGTTTATTGTGAGCTAACAGTGCTCAGTAAGTGCGTAAAACTTTGAGTGGTCACAGAATGTATGACTGCACACATAAAGCTACTGACTTGGTTTAATGCATTTAAATTTAGGTATTTAGTTTGATGAACACACATGTAACACTTTGTTATGCACCATTTATGGAGAGTTTAGATGTCAGCTCTGAGGTGATTTGAAGCTCTTCCACTTACACAGTTTTCCCCTTTTGATTCCTCTTAAGTAGCTTTAAGTCATCATATTCCACACTGTCTCATATAGTGCATATACCCTATGAGCTTGTTCCAGCTCTTCACTGAAAGTATAAAATGTTTAAACTGAGTGAAATATTCAAATCAAGATGGCTATAGCATGCCATCGAATGAAAATATTCTTGGTGTCTGAATAGTTTCCCCAAAATTTCAGCCTGATACATTTGGTATCTTTGGAAACTTGTGATCTCCACTAGATAAAAATGAATGTTAAAATAATTAATGAGTGAGTAATGTCTTTCAACAATGTTTGGCTGCACAGACAGTCTGTAATGACCAATTCACTGCAATGTTAAGGTTTGAAAAAATCAAAGCAGTACCTATACACACGAGAAATTATTTCCTGCTAAACTATGTGTGTGTGTGTGTGTGTGTGTGTGTGTGTGTGTAATGTAGAAAAATAACACCCATGCCGCAGCCATGTTCATTTCCCCTCACACAGACCGCCTCTGTTCCTGCACACGGTTGCTCTTAAGACTCAATTCATTAGGTCATACAAAGAAGTATTTAGATCTGCTCAGACGCCTTCTGTTACTGAGCTGCATTATCTTTGCTGCAGTCTGGGTTCACTCTAGCTGTGTCTGTCCGTTAACAATTTCCTCAGCCAGGCATGTTGTTACAGCCGGTGATGAAAAGAAACAAGGACTCCTTTGAATGAACGAGTGCCAAAAGATGCTGGCTGTTTCAGCTCAGCATATGAAACAGAGCGACACAGGAGAAGAGGAGAGGTCACGCAACTTTGAATTTATTCTCTTTACCTTCACATTTTCTTTGCTGGAATACATTTGCAAAAATTACATTTATGTGACACACAGAGGTAATTTTACATCATCTACAAACAGAATCACATGCCTGCCATATTTTCCTTTCCTTGCTGTGTGTTTTACAGATAAAAAAAGACATGTAGCCCTACACTACATGACAGCACAAGCAGTCATCTGCTAACTGTACACAGGTGTAAGTCAAGTGTTTTTGGCACAGCCTGTAAGATGCAGTGTGAGGAGTCACATGGCGAGAAATTACTCCAGAAATTGTTCCCGCGGAGATCCCGGAGAGGTCAAAGATGGATGAGAAGAGTTCTGACTGAGTCCATCGCTGGTGTTTCCAACCTGAAACAGCGAAAAATGATTGATTGGTTGATTTTATTAACTGTGTGCTTGAAATATCTGCGCTGAGTGAATGTACTATTTATTTTTTTTGCAAGTGACCACTTCTACCCCTACAGATGACTTCTGGTTTTACAGTGGTTCTCAGTTTAATTTCACCAAAACACCACAACTTTTCCAGCCTAGCTTTCTCTCTAATTTTCTGCTCTTTCCCTTTCTTATTAATTTTTCTGTCACTCACCTGTGTGTGCAGTATCTTCTCAGTTTTGGAACCAGCTGATAAAGTAGGTGCAGACACCTTGGAAGCTCTTCCAGCAGTACTCGGAGGCAATGCGGGAAGCTTTGGATTCAGGCTGCTCTGTGGGCCGAGTTGTGGTCTTCCCAGGCTTAGGGGTGGTTTTCTTCTGGGGGCCCTTGCCTGGCTGGGGCTTGGCGGGCTGCGGCTGGGGCTTGACAGGTTTGAGAGTAGGGGCAGGCTTGGTCTGGGCAGGCACCCCCGTTTTACGCTCCTGGATGGGCTTGGAGGGCTTGAGGGTGGTGGTCTTGGGCCAAGAGGCCAGGAAGGTCATCTGGACCTCATCGGGGAACTTCTTACACATCTGTGGGCGGTAGATTTTGGGTCCCTGGCAGGCGTGGCTCAGCTTCCTCATGTCCCACATTATCTGACTGAAGTAGTGGCGAGTGTTGAGGTTGTAGGCACGGCATAGGTTGGGTTTGCCCTGGAAGTCGCAGTAGTAGGAGCGTCCCGGGGTCTGGCCCTGGCTCGGACCTTTGCAGGAGACACGCAGGCGAGTATAGTCCCCGAGTCCAGACACCACCATGGTACAGGAGTCTTTGGTCTTGGTGATGAATTTGATGGGCTCATCATGCTGCTGTGGCTGCTGCTGCTGCTGCTTGTTGTCGTTGCTGCTGTTGTTGGTTTGAGCATTTGACACAAAGACAGTCGATGCCAGGAACAACAGCAACACTCTCATCCTGGCTCTCATGCTGGCGTTAGGTGTGTTAGTGATATATGGCTGAGGGTGTGGGATGATGTGTATGTATGTGTCTGCACAGAGGGTTACTGTGTGCAAGGGTAGAAAGCATCTGAGTGTGACTTTATAAGGCTGAAGCTCACAAAGAAGTATTATTCAGATGAGCTGAACTCCTCCTCCAGCAGTGACCCCCCTCACACCACGCACGCCGCGACCAAAACTAAAATAGTGATAGGAGAAATGGATGGAAGGAGGGGGAGAACCTAAACTGAGGGAGGAGGAAAAGGGGGGAGGGGAAGCAGTCTGTGGGAGCCTAGGGGGGAAAGAGAGTAAGGAGGCTGAAGGACGGTACACACATGAAGCCAAATATTGTTTAAAAAAAAGACTTGCAAGACATTATATAATCTCACATAGGAGGTTCTTTCACTATTGATGGGGGGGGAGGACGTAGGGAGGACATGGAGAGGAAGGGGGAGAGGACTGAGGGTCAAGAGCCAAATTGCAGCCTGACGTTATTTGCTGAGGATTTAAAGTTGATCTCTGACCGTGTAATAATAAAAAACCTCATCATGTTCATCTTAAGATGCTGAGAAGTTGCTGCTGCAATAACAAACAGAGCTACATACACAGATATAGTTTTTTCTTTATAAACTTAATTAACTCAAACTGTGCAGCCAAAGCTCACACAGTAATTTTTTCAACTGTCTTGCATTAACAAGTTTGAGCAAGCGGTGACTGGGCTCGCTCATCCCTGTGTTCCCAAGGTGCTATGTCAAAAGCTTATAAGGAAGGGCTGTCTTTGCAAAAGTATGAGCGGAGATGGACATTTCAAATGCTGTTTGCCAGCCACTGTGGCAATATCCGTATCTAAAGTCAAGAAAACTGTCTGCGTGGTACAGATCTTCCCAAAAAAATAAAAACAAAAAAGCATTTCCCATAATCTCAAACTTTCGGGGAAAACAGCAGCAAAGTCAAAAAACAAAGTTAAATAAAGATGCTCAAGTTGGTAATTAGGAAACAAAATACAATGAAAAGCCAAGAATTAAGAAAAAGTTCCCTCTAAGAGACACCAGGAATGCAAAGTAAACGTGTGTGTGTGTGTGTACACTATGTTGTCTAGAACAGATGTTGTCCTAAATTTAAATACTGTAGTCCTCTTCTTATAGGACGCAACAGTATCACGCCACCACTAAGCACCCCCATCGCTCCCTGCAAACCTGCCAATCACCCAAAACAGACCTCAACCTTTTCAGCTGCTGTGTGTCTGTGTATTCTGCTCTGCATATGTTACATGAATGTTATCTGCATTCCTGTGTGTTTTGGCAAGACATGCTATAAGTTGTTTTGCAGGCATGGATGTCATACTTGTCTGAACATTTGCTTCTCTTATATTGTCAAATATGTCCTTTTATAATTCCTATCTGTGGTTCGGAGCTTATGTAAAGCTTCAAAGAGCACAAAAGCACACTTCAAAGATAATTTGTGTGATTTATGAGCACTAAAATGCTATCAGAGTTTCCTCCTGGGTGTTTTGCTATGGGGTACGTGTGAGTCCATCCAGTTCATTTCATGAGTTTATGGAAGAATAAAAAAGCAGACACTTATTGGACTGACATTTTTATTCACAGATTTGCTCCCTCACCACAACCCCCAGCTGTATTATTAAATGTTTTTGTGAGTGTTCCTCAACCAGGCCTCTGACACCATAGAGGCTTCTGGGAGTTGCACTTCTCAAACCACAGGATGGCGAAGAAAGAAAAAAAACACAAGCAACTAGGCCCTCACTAATGGTCTGGCGAGAAATGCCTAAGACACACATATTTTGTTCATTAGCTGTCTGAAAACCTTGTTAGGGTGTGTATGAATGTGTGTATGTGTGTATGTATCTTTATGTGTGTGTCGAATAGGCTAGTAACACTTTGCCTCTTGTAGTAGCAATGGACCAGGATAAATTCTTGACTAATCTTTTTATGTCTCAAAGATTTTAATAATCTAGACAAGCAGGAGCCAAACTGAACAGCCAGTTTCCTTCTTCAGTGTTTAAAGGAATAGTTTGGCATTTTAGGAAATTCCTTTTTTCACTTTGTTGCTGAAAGTTAGCTGAGAAGATCACTAGCACACTCATGTCTTTATGCTAACCATGAAGCGACAGCCTAGAGATGGTTAGCTTAGCTTAGCACAAAGTGTGGAAACAAGAGAACCGTTCGCCTGGCTCTGAACAAAGGGAATAAAATCCACATACTAGCACCCCTAAAGCTCACTAATTAAGATGTAATATCTTGTTTGTTCAGTCCGTACAAAAATTACTCTAATAAGTTCAGACAAGAAATATGCTGCGTTCCAGATAACTCGGAAACTAAAAAAAGCACAACGGAACGAAAGTTGGAGTTTCTACCTGTAAACTCAGGGCAAATCCATCTACCCCAACTTTATGAAGAAACAGTTGTCTGACGTACCGATGAAAGCGCATGCTGAAAATGGGACAGCAACAGCACTGATAAGAGTTCAATTGTGTATGTAAGAAACATCAGCTTGTCATGGTCAGCCATGTTTTTTGTTTACATTTGGCGTTGTGTGCCTGGAACGTTGGAAATTTCAGCTGGAAAATTCTGATCTCTGACTTTGACACAGCAATATTCCCCCGTAAAACCGCAAATTATGGTTTTCAGCAGTACTAGTGGAAAGGTGGTCTTTGGTAATCCCCTGGATTGTCATGAGATTTGCTTGTCTTTTTCTTTATGCAAAACTAGCTAACCGGTTGCTGGTATTTAACAAAAGAAGTGGGATCTTCTTATTATTCTCTCAGCAAGAAAGCAAATAAGTGTATTTCCCAAAATGTTGGACTAAAATTCCCCAATTCCCTGGTCGATGCAACCTTTTGAGCCAAAATGTTGCAAGCTTTATTATAAATATTCACAAAGAAAATAACTAATACTACTAAAAAAAACTACTTACATTTTATAAAACAAACATTAACAAAAATATATAAAACTTTCAAAAGTTTTGAAAGTGTAAAAAATGTACACTTGTGTCACCATGTTAAAACTGACAATGTAAGTAGAAACAAGTATTCTCTAGAGGTAAAACTAGCTATGCAGGAACATGATAGTTGATAATGTACTGCATGACACACTAGAAAGACTGCTGTGATACTGCTGCTACTGGATGCTGACGTGTATGAGAAAACACTTTATAAATTTCAGTTGGCTGGCATCACAGGTCCTTGTCAAATGGCTTGAAGGGGTTCTGGGGGGTGGGACGCCCTCACCACACAGTTCCTGATTGTTGTCGTTACTTTTTAGTCCTTGGAAATGTTACAAGATGAACGGGAAGGGTGGAGAAGTCCAGCGGTCCTAGGAAAGATAGTCAGCCATGTCAGAAATGACCTGCAATTGTCAGACAGTGTGTTTAACATTTTCATTATCCCTGTGAGGATGAAGAGAAGAGCAGATAGATGAGCACTTACCACGAGGGAAATATCAGTTCCAGTTCTCTTGTCCGCTGTGGAACAAGAGAAAATGACATCAATTCTGGGTTTATCTGCTACTTTGCTTTTGCGCATGCTCAAGACCAGCAGTCATGCTTATTTTCATAAAAGAGTGTTAGTTTACGTCAAAGGCAAATCCCCCCCCACAGTAATAGGAGTCCCTTTTTTTAGTCTGACTTAAAAACTGTCACTGCCTTTTCTTTTTGATTGATTGTAGAAGAGCAAACCAACACAAAGTCCAGATGTAAATAAACATTATGGTTATCATTTGCATTATCATGCAAAAAATAAATCCTCCCTTCTACATCAAAGGCACATGATCATTTATACAAGATTGAACTTTCACTTTAGATACTCTTGTGAGCACACTTTCACAAAACAATTACTCAAAATCTAGCAAGATATCTGGATAATTCCAGCAGGAAGAAATGTTGAGGGATAACTGATGTGATCACTTGCAAAATTCTGCATCAGCCATAACTTGACGCCATCTTCAACACCTAGTTCTGTATTTATGATATTGTTGTGTTTATTTTTATTTACACGCTCAACTTCCTATACAACTTAAATTTTTTTTCCCACCCCAAGCACACGAGTTAACACTTTGTTACCACGAAATGTTTGTTCTCCCTACAGGACGCCTCCGACATGCCGAACAGATCCAAGGACAAACACATGCATCTGTCACACAATTTAGATGCAGCACACATGCCAGTGTCAGGAGTATAAGGGGTCTTCAGCTTAAACCAGCTCCATCTTTAGTAACTCTTCCTTGTTGAGTCCCGGTGTTTAAATGGACATCAACGAGTAAAAGAGACAATGGTGATGGATGAAAGGATGAAGATGACAAGAAAACAAGAAGAAAAAATAAAGAGGAAGAAAAATCTCCTGAAATCAGACTGATGATGATTACATGGTTCTCAGATGGTTTGAGTTGTTTGTTAACGTTGTTAGATGAGGGTTAGTGGAAAAACTGACTATCAGTACCTCATCGACGAGGAGAACGTTGCCTTGGGTCACCAGTCGGAGTAGCTCGGGGGAGCAGAGGCCCGAGGGAACCGGGTCAAAGTGTCGTTATAGGGAGAGCTATATCTACATGTACACACACACACACACACACAGATACACACATATGGGTAATTATTTATAAACTCTGTGAAGAAAAGTAACAGATGTCTCACTGGCTCTCAGTCAGAGAGACAAAAATATCTCTCCACCAATTAAGACCGCGGCATGCAAGCGAGCAGAGACACTGCTGGTACCTGATCACAGCGAGGTCTCCATGGATATCGCACACTTGTTCATCATGACTACTTGTATTACCCATACTGCAAGACTAGAGCAAAAGTGGACAGGTTGAGAAAGAGGATGGGAAGACTCCAGTGAAAGCAGCAAAGATGGAGTGATCCTCAAGAGAGCGTCGCTCAAGATGCAAATAAATTCGAAAGAGAGGAGAAAGACCCGGGAGGAGATGATGAAATGAAGATCCATGCAAAGAGAGAAAGAGCATCAGAAAGATGGGAGGCGATCCAAAGCCTTAAAGTATCCCATACCAAACAGGGAGTGGGCACGTGGTAGAGGACAAAAGGACGCCTTCCTAGCGGACAAACATCAAAGTGCAACAAGCCACGGGTAAGAGGAGCTGGAGAGAGAGAGAGCGGACAATAACATGAGGAGAAAATATGGAGAGAATGATGAAATGGAATAATGACAGAGAAAACGAAAGAAGAGAATTAATTAATTCTTTTGATCCACAGAAAAGATTTAGAAAAACTAAGAGCAAAACTAATTCAAATTTCTGTCTTCTTACAAAGTGTGTGTGTGCGTTTAGACTCACTCTTCAAAGACGTCTTCTGTGTCCATCCTTCTGTAATACTTGGCCAGTTTGACGGAGAAGATGATACTGGGAACCAGAAAGATGCAGCAGCCTCCCAGACCAAACCAGAATGTGTTCTGGAAAACAGGTTTACACAACATTTTCCACGTTGTTCCATAGCCTTCAATGCATTCCTGTCACACACTAAAATAATTATAGTTTTTTTCTATTGCTAAGATGCAGTGGTCAAAACTGAAGCCACTTTTTCAAAACTCTTCACACAGTCTGCATTACCAACATGCATCCTGGCCAAACAGTTAATCTCACCTCCAAAAGTCACTCAAACCACCAAAACACTTCATATAAGCCTCAAAATAAACTCGTTCAGCCAAAACACTGGCAACAACAGAATGCATTACGTAAATTTGTTGGACTTTTATCCTTGAAATGTCAGTGATATTATTATATAAATGTTGAATTTAGTCACTTTGATACATTTCTCAGATCAGAATTGAAATTCTACTTTTTCAACCTCCACATCATGTAGTCGCTTGTGCACATCATATGTAAAAGCAATTTCTCAGTCTTTTCAGAAATTGCAAATTGCACATGATTTGACACATTTATGCAAATGATTATGTACATTTGTCTGCTGTTTCCTACATTATCAATTGCTTACTGTATGTCAGTGCGTAAGTCACTACATGCAAAATGGTTGAACACGTTATAATCTGCATTTTCCTACATACGTCTATTAGGCTTGTTTTGTAAAGGTGTCCTACAGTAAATTGATGAAGTTCTGATCTGTTGTGCTGTGAATAAGAATCTGTGGCCCAACAGACATGAACATCAGCCGGAGGGGGTGTTTTCATGTTTCCATTTCTTATTTTCTAATTGTTTCCGTTGTGCTATGCAGTGCTGTAAAATAGTCTTGTTTTTTTTATTTTCTGCATCACAATGACATGTTCTGTCAACAAATTACAGTGCATACAGTAAAAGTGTAACTGGGAATCCTGTCCAATCTCTTGCAATGTTTTAGTGTAACTCTGTACTGTTGACATGTATCTATGCCATACAGAAAAAGTACAGCCTTGTGCATTTTCAATCATTGTCATCAAAAGTTTAGCCATAGTTTACCAATACAAATAGTTTTGCAAATGTACCAAAGCGACTGAGAAAAAATGGAAGAAACCTGTAACATATTTTTACTTTACTGACTGTACTATAGTATATGTTACAAGAATGAATCAGAACTGCATTCAGTAATTTACTTGTGAAAAAAAGAAGTTCCTGACATTCAGTTTTTTTCAGTGATGACCAATGACCGCAGTCTGTAATTGATGTTTCATCCCCATGAACCAATTCTGCTAAAATACAAGCACATTTCTTGCTTTACACTCAGCTTGCAGTTTTACAGTAAAACCACATATTTCTCTAAAACATAAAATGGATGAAAAACAGATTTTCTATATAAATCTTTCCAGCTACAGAAAAAATGCAGGAAATTTGCAGTGTTTTGCAGGTAGTGAAGTAGTAATGAGAAAAGAAATCATGAATTTTGGAGATAGGGGTCATTGAATGCATTTTGTGTGAAAGCAATGAAAAATGATTCACAGTTTGGTCCACATACACTTCTGTTGCGCTGACTGTGTGAAGAGTTTTGACAATGTGAATTCAGTTTTGACCAACGCAGGCTAGCAATTGAAAAAAACTGTAAATGATCAAATAATTAATTGTACCATTTGAAGAAAAGCTGGTCAGCTCATCTTCTCAGATGCAGTGTATCATTACTTCTTTTAATTAGTAAGTACAAAGTAGCAATAACACAGTGTATTGTACTCGAAGTAGATACAATAAAAGTACTCGTGCAGCAGAATGGCCTCCTCCAGAGTAACTGGGTGTTTTAATGTCATATTTGGATAAAGTGGACCTGATTTTGACAACTGTATGTGTTGAGTAGTTTAACATAGTAGTAGTACAAATTAGTGTCAATGGTAATTTTACAGTACGAAAATGTAAATGCAGTACTTGCGTAAATCTATTTTGCTGCTTTCCACCACTCCTCAAACGAGGCTTCCTTACTTTTCTTTTTTATATTATGATCGTCATTCAAATATATTTTGATTTTGGACTGATGGTCAGACAAGAGAAGCAACATGAAGATGTCTCCTTAGCTCTCGGAAATCATGATTTTTCACAATTTTCACACATTTTAAAGACTTAAAAGTATACAAAGAAAATTAAATTTTCAGATTAATCAAAAATGTAAAAAATTGTTAGTTTCAAACCTTAGACAGAATTTCCCATCTACAGTTCTGACAAAGGCATGTCCACATGGATGCACAAGAAATTTACACATCACAGTTCAAGGCACACATAGGACAGATCATCTGAACATAAAAATGCGCTGCATGTCACAACAGTGGCTGCAGGCTCTGCTGAAGCACCGATGAATAAAATCTCTGTTTCTATTGACCACATTCTGTGGCTTATTCAGGCTCTCGTTAACCTCTCACAAACTCACATGCATGATATATAGCTGATATGTAAATATGAAACTTTACAACTACTCGGGACTGTAATAAAACCTGTGAATAATCTATGTGTATGTAACTGCCTTGTCCTGCCTCAAACCAGACTCTATCTCATCTCAGTGTGTGTGTGTGTGTGTGTGTGTGTGTGTGTTTGTGTGCGTGTGTGCGTGTGTGTGCGTGAGGTAGTCGGAGACCTAAGAACAAACTGTTCTCATATGTGTGGCTGAGTGACTCCACAGCTTTCATCCCAGAGCTCCCTGAAACTGTCAAAGAGCCGTTTATATTTCTAGTTGAAATCATGTATTGTACATACAGCTGTGAAATGAATCAGTGCACCTTAGCAGCCTTACACACACACACACACACATACACACACAGATAACCACAGTGTTCTGGTGCCTTACCACTGAATCGACAATGAAGCTGCAGCCTACTATCTCCATGCTGTCCACAATGTTACTGATGGGTTTACACTGGGCCACCTCTGCAGTCAGCTGTAGGGGGAAAATAAACACATCAGCGTATTTACACAAAACTCCCCAAAGTATAGACTATAGTGTATTTATGAAAGTCCAATTTACAACTAGAAGAAAGTATGTGTGAAGCAGTGGAAAGATCCTTCACTTATGGACACTCAACCTTCTTATTTAAATCTTGGACTGTTACAATCAGAGAACCTCTAAGGCTTTCACTCTAAATGGTGCAACTCGATTACTGAGAGAGGATAGAGTTTTATTGTTCATTCACTATCATCAAGTAGAAATCCAACACTACAGAAACACATTTGCTTTGGATTTCATCTTTCCTTCTGGTGACAATTGTTTAAGTCTGTTAGTCTGTTTCCATTGCACTTTGTCGCACTTTGCTTTTATTTATTGACCAACGTTTCCTTTTTTGCAATATTTTGAGGGTTTCCGGTGTTTCCACTCAGGTTTTTTTAATCTTAAATCTGAAGCTGCTTAAAAACTGGTGGATGTGAATGTACCTTGTCTCTCTACTGTAAATTTTGAACCCATCAGCTTTTAAAGGATACATCATAGAAAACTGGTAGAACACTCACTGAGCTTTTAATCCATTCTGTGTACTGTTTGAAGTATCCTACCAAGCTCTGTGTGTAGCCCTTTGTTTCCTAGACACCAACAGAGAAGAAAACATGTCAGTAAATGTTTGACTACAGCCTTAAACCTTCCTATTTTTTTGCTAAAGATCTTTTTTTTCTTGAAATGCCACATGTACCCAGTTAAATATGGCTCATATAAACGTACAATAGTGTTTGTTGTGTTTTTATTTTGTTTTTTTTACCTGTTTCACCACGTGGGAGGCGTTATGAGTGATGAGGTACTCTGCTGCATCGATGGCACTCAGGATATTTGTGACCTTGACCTAAAAGAGAGAGAGAGAGAAAGAGAGATCATTTAACTTTAGTAAACTTTTTGCTGTTTATTTTCACTTAACAATATAGAAGTATAACAAACAATCAAGAGTGGATATGTTTTCTGTGTAGCTTGAGACTTCATTAAATATTCATCTATGTGCTAATACACAACAGTAATACTGTATATCATTTATTTTATTTATTTTTATTTATTTCAGAGCTCATGTGGAAGTCAGCAGTACAACATGGTTGTATTTAATGTAGAAAGGCTAGTTGTGGAAACAAACATGGAATAAGATGTGACCTTCAAATACAATGTACAATGCACAATGTATAATACAATGTATCACCCTACAATGTCTCATTTTTTGTTGATTTGTTGTGTGGACTGGTGTTGATTTTGACACATATGAAGGCTGTAATTAAACTGTGGGTAACAGTATAGTGTTTTTGTATCCTCACCGGCAGCTCGCTGGACATCCTCTGCAGTTGCTTGATACTCTGGCTCAGGGTACTCTGTGTAAGGAGACAAACTGTTACCAAACAGAGCACAAGTACATGTCTAAGTACTCATGAACAAATACGCCACCACGTCACCTCTCACAACATTAACAACAGCGCTACGACAAACACGCACAGATGAACTGTCACATTGCTGTGTATCAACAGCGTCTTACCCGCGCTTTGACATATTTCTGTCACCATTTAACAAAAGAAAAAAGAAAGAGAGAAAGGAGTTGAGGAGAGCAGCTAACAGAGACACATGTTTACTAATATTATGTGGTTTAAATATTAGTGGCTTAAAATGTATGCTTTAATGTTGTTTGTTTTGAACTTGTGATCTGATTATTTCAAAATTCTAAATTTTGTTTGTTGTTTGTTACCTACAACTGCATAAGACAGCAGACACAGTGGTGGGAGCACAACCACCTTTACCTACACAACAAAATTAGACGCAACACAAGGGGAAAGTCTTAGATCTTTGAGTTCAGCTCATGATGTATGGGGGCAAAAACAAAAGTGTTGAGTTTATTATTTTGTTCAGTACTGTATAAATGTCAGGAAATCAAAAGAAATAGTAACAGGTACACCATCATTCCCACATCCCATCCTCATCAATGACAAAACAGTTGAAATGGTTGACAGCTTCAAATATCTCAGATTCATGCTGGACAATAAACTCACCTTTGACCAGCATACAAAGGACATTCAAAAAAGAATGAGCCATCTGTAAACTCGAAGGATTCTATCTTACCACCCATCTCCTCCTACTGTTGTAACAACACTGTAACCAACACTGCTGCCAAAATTGTAGCTCTACCCACACCTAACTTCTTAGAGCTCAGTTCTAAGGCCATCATACGCATTGCACATATAATACAACAGGACATCACAGACCCACTAAATCTCCACTTCACTGTACTGCCCTTTGGTTGCAGTCACAGGTCCCCAAGGTGCAGAAGGCTCGCTTTGGCAAAATACCCAATTAAATATGTAACACTTGTAATGTTGCCTGGTATCTGTAGCCAAAGCAGCCCTAAACAGGGCGACGCTCTTCTCTCTGAGATGTAGAGGAGACGAAGTATGGGGTAGCAGAAAATAGAAGTACAGTACTTGAGTGAATGTAATTAATTAGTTACATTCCACCACTGGTGTCTTTCCTGTGATGTAAAGTGCTATGAAAAAGAATTTCGCCCCTGGGACAATAAAGTCTAACTAACTCTCTTAAAGTAAAATACTGTAAATCTGTGTGTATTAGCTTGTGCGTATGTTTGAAATGTAGGTGTTTAATGCGGCATTAGTGCATGTTTTTGTTGTGGGAGAAGTGATTACCATTGCTTGCTCCACGGGAACCACCTGTTCTCTGTGAATCTGTCTGATACTGCTGGCGTGTCCTTTCAGTGCATTCTCTAGAGCCCCACGTGGCTGTAAACAAACAAACAAAAAAACACACACACACACACACACACAAACAAAGAGCAGAGGATACAGCAGTTTGGATAATTAGGTGATGAATATTAACTCAATGACTGATTATTCTTTCCATATTTAGAACATACAGTACATACACACACTAATCCTTCTGTTGCATGTCCCATGTGTTTTTAAATGGCAACAGTTCCTGTACTATTTGCTATGCATGTGCCATAAAAGTGTGTGTGTGTGCGCGTGTGTGTGTTCAGGGTGAATGGGTGTCTTGTTCAGACCAACAAGCCCGGTCACTGAGCTCAAAGCAAAATCTTTTTCTAGAGGGGCTGTCGATCTGCATTTGTGGACTAATTGGTTTAAGAATATTTTGTTTCCTATCTCATTCCTACAGTCTGCAACATGTACATCAATATTAATTAAGATAAACAAAACAAACAGCTTAAACTTATAATACTTGTCATAAGATGCTCTGAATTGCAAACTGATTTTTCTTTTGAAAAGAAGGCGGAAAGATGTGCTGTCAGAGTAAAAACACCTCCCCCCCACCAAAAAAAAGTCTAAAGTGAACTCCTTTGGTCCAAATTATTTCCAGCCAAATCAACAATCTAAAGGGACAGTAGGATGTAGATGATTCATTTTAGGTCTTTTAGCAGTTAGCAGTACTCTAGCAGCATAAGCTAAACTTGAATGTAAACTAAATGTGAGAGGTCCACGCAGCCTACCTCATCTTAGACAAGTTACTCTATGTACAGAATAACCTGCATGGGGATCCTCAAAACCCTCAATAACAGTATTTCAAAGCAATGTGTATAACACTGTGTGCAAAACCTCGCTTTTATGACGTTTCTTTATGATTTTAGCATTTGAATGAAAAAAGCAATCATGCTGTTGCTTTAATTTGTTGGTACAATGATGATGACACTCACCAGTTGGTCGGCTTGAGCCTCCAGGTCAGTAGAGAACGACAGGAGATCCACGATAGTGACTCCCTTATTTACCTACAACAACCAAACAGAGACATTCACTCATGAAGCAGCACGGATAATATTGTTTAAGATTCCCTCAATTTGCATAGCTTTCTTTAGATTTCAAACTGGATTTGGTATAGTTGTGCTTAATTCTCTCTTTTTTTTTATCACAAATAGATTAGTGTTATATAATAGAGAGAGTTTTTTTTTTAAGATTGTCTTTTTTTTATTTCATATTTCAACAGTTATACAGTTATACTAAAAGAACAACAATTCTGTTCTGTGTGTGGACACTGTATTAACTCCTGAAGGCTTAGCCTAACCTTAAATAAAACTTCAACCCAATCAACCACACACACACACACACACACACACACACACACACACACACACACACACACACACACACACACACACACACACACACACACACACACACACACACACACACACACACACACAGATTTTACCTCAGCCAGGTAGGCTTCATAGTCGATCTGTCCAATTCCAGAGTTGGCAAAGTTGATGAGGTTGTCTCTGCCAGCCTGCTCCAGCAGTGTAATGTCCTTCAGGTCGATCTGCACACTCTCAAACACTTTACCCAGATCCCTGTTGTACTGTAAAACATACATATAAACTCACAAGTTACCAGACTGTCATTCATCTTGCTCCACCATCAGTAACATGCATCAGTAACACAGATTTATTATCAGCAATTCCCACACAGTAACCTGACACTTACCACAGTTCTGTTGAGGAAGGAGTTGATGTTAAACATGGTCTCCAGTTGCAGAGCATGGTACAGACCATTGTTCTCATAACACTCCCTACGAGACAAATACAGTATCATCACACACTGAAACTCCACCAGGGTAAATTTATGTTTACTTGTAAGGCTCATTCTTTTAGTTTATTTTAGTTTGTTTTGAAAATATAAAATTGTTTTTTTTACTTAGAACAATAAAAAACTGAATGAACAAAAAAAGCCAAAAAATTTAATTTGTAGTACAAACATTGGATAATAAGTGTTTTTCATTTTTCTCTTCACTGTCTATAATCAGACGCACATACGGCAAATTGCAGTAAACAAAGTCTTCATGGGGCAGAAAACAAACGTCTTTTGAATGTGCAAATGCAAAGCCCAGGAGGTAAATCAGTTCAGTGCGCCCTATGTACAGTATGAACAGTATTAGCTGTTGGCATGTTACCTGTACATGCTTCCCAAAGTCAAGTCAATGTTCGGATTCTGAAACAGCATCCCAGGAAGGAAGTTCTTCTTGGCGGGATGAACCAGGAATGGTGTGTCTATGATCTACACACATGCATATTCATCAGCACAGAGCCACAGTGTTGCCTGTTCTTTAACGCTATCCCGCTGAGATAAAACTCTCTCCAAGATAAACTCAGAGAGAGGCAGAGTGCATATAATATGATTCAGGAAGGAAGAGAGTTTGAATTCAGTACCTTGAATAGCTGTCGGTTAGCCAGCGGTTCACACACCAGCTTCTCCACGTTGCCACCAACAACAAACAAGATGGTCACGATGCCCATCAGCACCCAGGCAAAAAGAAAAGAAAAGCCCACCCCACTGAAAGAGCAAGAGATAGAGTGTGGGAAACATTAATCACACAGAAAGTTATCTTATAGTCTCTGTTTCCTACCTTCCATAATCAACATTTCTGCTTTATTTTTTCCCTTTGTCTTAGGTTTTACCTTCAGCCTAATTAATGGACATAGAGACATCCAATTTTACATTGTTTGCTCACTTTTCAGTAGCTGCTGAACTAAAAAAGTACCTGCTAATAATAACTTTTTTCAGCACGGACAAGGCTGCACAAATGGTAAATTGTGGGACCTAGATGTGTATAAAACTGAACTTTGGCTATCCTTCCTATCAATAGACTACAATGTGTCAGTAAAAAGTAAAATCTACTGCATCTCAGGTGCTCTTCATTAATGTATGAAATAACATCTATGGATATTATTCTAGTGCATTGTTAAACTGTATGTAAAGTTTTACCAAACATTTCAAATGTTACTGTCTCAGTAAGTTAAGAAGTTTGATTTTTGACCCCTCCTCAGTCCTTGTCACTAACTTATATTTCACTCATTATCTTTTGCATGTATGATAAAGTAATAAACATTTCTCACAGCAGACATTTGGTCTTGTCAGAGTAAGAAAAGCACAGCATGGCTTTGTTGCATTTAGCTACAGAAGTAGCAGTGAGACAACACGCACAATAGCAAGGACCTGGAACTTGCACACTAATATGGGTATAGCTAATATTATTGTTATAGGTAACACCTGTATTATAAGTCAACATGTCTGCTGTTTAGGTCTAGGCTGTGTCAATCACCCCCTATTTATTATATTGTGTTGGGACTGTTCTTTTGGTAACATACGCCATTAGCAGGTTGCCGCCGGTGTTTGATAGGCAGCCTCGGGTTGTTGGTGTAGCTTGCTTGTCGTAGCCACAGGTGCCACACAGCAGTCCAAGGATGTTGAAGGCCAGGACAAGGACGACCATGCAGAGCACTGCCACACAGCCGATCCACCTGCAGCACATCCAGCAGTTACGGAGCAACATTAGCTTTTGTTTGGAGATGTATTTCTGGCCACCTGATAAATGTAAGCCCAAGATTCACTCTTTTATAGCTCTGTTTTTCATCACTACCTACTCCTAAGGGAAATATCTGACTCTTTAGCTGCTAAATGCTCCACTATTTTCATCAGCTAGTTGCTAACCATGTCTGTCTGGTGTTTGGTGATGAGAAGGTACTGTACATTGGATTTTTAGAGCTTTTTCTCTGAGAGAACTGAGAGTAAAGTTGCAGGCTGAACAGCTAAGCGATGAGCTGAAGCCTGTTAATAGAGTTACATAAAGCCAAGGGGAGCTGCAGATTTGTTGGATAATTCTCATCTGGCATTTCATTGCCCCCCAAGATGGGAAGTTTGTCCCCATAATGTGATAGATTTTTGCTCCCACAGTGTCCACAGACAAACACACATGCACAAACCTGTAGAAATCCATTTGGTCAATCTGTGGGTAAAAGGACTCAATGTTTTTCTGTCCTTGGTTGAGGAAAATGGTGAAATTGGCCAGAGACGCTTCCACTGGGAACATCTTGGAGAAGTCGTTAATCTCTGTGCCAATCTTGTCCAGCATGCCTTTTACTCCTAAAAACAAAAGGACAACCAAAAAATCAGAATGCAACATGACATAACTTTTTTTCGGTCTCAATTAGTAGGGCTGTCAACTCAGAGGTGACAAAATTGAGGAGAACAGGGTCTAACAAAAAGTGAAAAGGGACTTACGAGGTAGAGCTGTGTTTTCATCATTCACAAGTATGCAGGTGAAGGTGAGAGAAGAAAAAATATGAAAGTGAAAGACTACGGTCAGAGATTGTAAAGAGGAAGGGGAAAACATCTTAATTTGTTAGGCACTAACTAAATACACATACATACAGTATATATACATTTGTGTACCTGTGACAATGTTTTTAGTTTGTTCTTTAACCAGTCTTGGTGTATCGTTAAAGGACGAGTAACCCTGGTGGTGGAAAGTAAGAGAGGAAAGACGATTAAGAATAAGATATACATTTCTTTCAACCAGGATGCGTTTTGTAAGAATATGATGGGTGAAAAAGAAAGTGACAAGATGAACATGAGGATGACAAAGAGCTAGAGACAGAGACTGACCTTTTGTACAATGTTGCTGAGGTCTGTTTTCAAGACGGTGTTGACATTGTCCAAGGCATGACTGATGGTATGATCAGGGAGCTGACAGAAAGAGAAAAAGAGTGAAGTTAAGTATATATGGAAATATTGCTGGCAATTTCCAGGTTCTGATTCCCATTTAATGCGTTAGACAATTATAAATTCCTTGGTACCCTGGAGAAGTCAGCATTGACTCCTAGCTGGGACAGTGTGGAGCGGATGGTGTTGCAGGTGTGAGACACAGCGCCATTAGTGCAGGCGGGGTCTGACAGGGTGTTGGACAGAGAGGCGCGCTCCCCCGACAGGCTCGCATGAAGTTTCCCCGTGCCCTCCTGAAGAACCTCCAAGGAAGAGCTGACGTTCTCCAGGGCCTCTTTGGTCTCCCGCATGGCTACAAGAGTGAGAGGAAGCATGACACTAAAAGTTAGCAAGATTTTGATAAAAACTACTTTTAGTAAAATAGTCCACACAAGTGTGTTGTTCTGGATTGACATATTGGAGAACCACATACACAAAAAATGCAACCACCACAGAACTATCCAAATTATAACAATAACACTGATTACACTGACAACGAAGGAAAAGGACAATACAAGACTTTTTACATGGTACGACAGTGGTTCAGGATCCGGATCAATAGTATCTGTCACCCAGGATCCACTAACACCAAGTCACGAGCACTGAAACACTTTGTCCTGATCAGCTCTGATTACCTTTGATGGCATTCTCAACTTTTCCTTTAGATAAAAGGAAATGTGAGGGAATCAAAAAGAAAAGTTAAGAAATGGTGAGAACATGCCCTTAAAAGACACACGATTCTGTAGTGATAAAACCACAAGAGAGGAAACTGCAGGTGAAAAGAAAGTGTGGCAACAATTCACAAAACATACTGAGTAACATTCAACATGATCAAAGTTTTGTTTGACCAGTTTAGGGGTTTTGACGTTTCTGAGCATCTTATGTGATAAAACATGAACAGTATTTTATACGTGTCAAAACTGGTTCATGGCTGAAGAGATTTATACATGATTGTTGAAACAAATATAACCAATCAGATGTGGCTGTAGATATTGTTTCAGCTCAGCAGCATCAGTGCTGCATAAGATACTGTGTCTTAACTGTTGCAACTGAACAGCGGGTCGTATTAAAAGCTAATGTGTGTTACCTCCTGCCATACGCAGTGCAGTGTCCAGGGAAGGAACCACCTCTTTCTCCAGCTGACTGTGGATCCTCCCACCCAGCAAAGGTCCAATGTCTGTCAGGAAACACAGAAAGATCAGACGGTTTATGACAACACTACAGTTATACATTGGTACTGTAGGTAAACACAGGGAGCCACAGGCAAACAAATTGAGACATATTAGACAAATACTGTATATAAACAGTCTGAGTTCAACTCACTGTCGAGGTCTGACAGGACTTTGTTCTTTGCCGTGGTGTACTGGGCTGTCAGGTATTCAACTTGCTGCAACACAAAACACAAATTACACGTTAGAGAAGTAAAAATGATGAATGTTGGTGTATGTGTCTCTAGCATAAGCACAAGCATGTGTGTGTGTGTGTGTGTGTGTTGGTGCAAGGGCTTACCGCAGGTGTGTTATTAGCAAATGTCTTCAGGTCTCTCATATTGGTGTTAATGAGCCGCCGAGTGCTCTTTATCTGGGCACTGATATTATGGTTCGCAGCATAGGCAATCAGTACTCCCAGACTAAAACACAGATACACACACACGCAGAGGATGAGTAAAGATAAACAGTGACCAATATTCACCAGAAGAGGGCAGCATGCCTACGTTAAAATGTATTTATTCTACATGTGCATTTAAAGTCACTCACAGAGGATTCACAAAGGCATGTGATCAGCCTGCAAAGTCATATTTCTCAGCTACATTTGCAGGAGTTTATTTAAAAAATTATATTTTGAAATGTGGATTTTGAAGTGTCATAATGTGACACAGCAACATCTTCTCTGCCTGTCTGTTTTTTCACAACTGACTTCTGATCAGATGAATGAAGTGTTATCAGGCGGAGGGGTCGTTACAAATAGCTCACAGGTTTGATCCAAATGTTACATTTAAATTTAAATTTACATTTACTCATTTGGAAGACACTTTTATCCAAAGCAACTTACATTAGCGGAATAACATACAAGCATCAATAAAGTAAGAGATCTACAAGTGACAATAGATACTAGTAAGCACAGCACTAAATACAAGCTAATAGCATGTACGGCATCACTGGGGTAAATACCTAGGGGAAGAAGTAAGAGTTTACAAACAGTGCAATCAATATAAGAGAATTGTAAGGAGATAGAAGAGGAGTCCACGAAGTGCATGTCAGAGGTGTTATAAGAGGAAGTGTTCTCAGAAGAGATGAGTTTTCAAGAGCTTCTTGAAGTTAGAGAGGGACGCCCCTGCTCTGATGGCGTGTGGTAGCTCGTTCCACCATCGTGATGTTACAGATGAGAACAGCTGGGACTGAGATTGCTTTGTGAGTAGGGATGGCAGAGCCAGGCTACGTTCGTTGGAGGAGCACAGTGGCCGAGAAGGAACGTAAGCTTGAATTATGGAGTTTAGATAGACGGTTGCAGATCCAGTAGCCATCCTGTATGTAAGCATTAGTGACTTGAATTTGATTCAGGAGGCCACGGGTAGCCAGTCAAATCGTATAACGTGAAAAAAACTGAAAAATCCTTCACAATGTCAATCGTATGATTTACTGTTTTATTATTAATGTTTCAATTTTCAGACATTCAGCAGGTCAAATTGTGAATGTGAGTGATTTAAAGTGTGTGGGATTCTTTGAAACAAGAATTTTTTTTTTTATCCTATAAACCTGTCTTTTAGAGTATGTATAATAAGAACGTTGTCGTAACTGTTGCCAGTTGAGTGAAGACATGAAAAAACTCTGGAAAGATCTACATGATCTAAAGAAGTACACAATATTTGAGGCATCTACCCTCTTTCACTAGAATCCACCTAATTTGTGATCGGTAAAGATTTAACAAGGAAAATGGATGAGAATGGATAATGACTTTTACCTTAAGTTTGCCTAAGAAATTCTGTACATTTAATGTTATGGTGAATGATAAACTGTTCCAAATTAACTATAATAAAGTAAGAAAGCAGGATGGATAATGCTGTGACAATGAATAATGATAATGCCTGCAAAGATGCTGAGCTATTGACGTGCAAGCTTTCAGCTGTATTGTTTTTTAAATATTTTTTGCAGTAATTTTTTTTTGTTAGTCCTGAATTCATGAATATGTTGTGAATGGTGTTAATTTACCTGCCAGATAACCGATCTCTTTCACTCTGCTGAGCCTGAAGCAAAGATTTGACTGAATGTCAATAGAAGTAGAACAAGAATGCAACCTTCTGTGTGAGAGACTATAAACGAATCATAAAAACAAATCAGATAATATCTCCACATCTCCAAATGGCCACAAAGTCCTTTATGTATGCATGTGTGTGTGTGTGTGTGTGTGTGTGTGTGTGTTTGTGTGTGAGCATGCATGTTTGTGATGTGAAAGCGCTCATTCAGACAGAGAGGCCTCTCACAGTCAGCCAAGTGATATCAGTAACACCTAACTGTCCCGCACAGTCTGGATCGTATTTCTCCGACCTGAGCACCTGTTTCCTCCACAGCAGGTAAACCGCATTCATGTTCCAGTCTGTGTGTGAGCGGATGTTGTTAAAGGGTAACTCCACTGATTTTATACATCTAAGTTTGTTTACAGGTCTCGGAGAGTACTACTTTTAAAGTAAAGGAGCCACAAATGAATAAATTGGGGGTGTGGTGTTAGTATATGGTGAGGTAACAAGACCTCTGCTGTACCCACATTAGCCACTACAGGCATACCAACCCGAATCGCTTGCTAAACTGTGAGTGCTCAAGTTGCATTGTGGGTAAGAGGAAGGATGTGTGGAATGAAAAAGATGATGTATCTGGTTCTACTGCATCGATAGAGATCTTTTTTTTTTAAACTGTCCATTGTGAGTCTGACAATGTTATAAGAGTTCAATGCTAAATCAGCAGCACACTCTTTTAAAAAGTATAAACACACATAAACATACAATAACAATGCAACAAAACTGCTTGTACACCCCTTGATTTGTTTACAATGAAAATTTGTCTACTTTTGATACCATTGAATAATGAAATTTCTGTTGACTTTTATGAACCTTGTTATTAATAATTTAACATTGTAGTAACTTTTGCTTGTCAAATTTAGTGTTGATTGCCTTTAATACAGATGTTATTTTGAGAAATTCCATCGAGTAATATTGGATTTTAAAGAACTTGAAGCTAACAATAAATTAATAATAATCCGAGGAGAAGGACATATGACAAACCTTGCCGCCAAGGATGTGTCCCAGTGTCACAACCTGAGGGACAGCGAGTGATTCAGCTAAATGTTGCACTTAACATTCGCTGCACAGCACACTGAATCTTGTTCACTTTTATTTGTAGTTTGCACTGAATCTATATTTGTTATTTTTGTTTTGTAATTTATTACTGCTAAATTGAATTATTTTGATTGGATTAATCTTGTTATGTCTTTTTCAAATGTAAACTTTTAATTTTGAAACTGCTTTGGCAAAATTGTTTAAATGAAACATTCAAATAAATAAAGCACACTGAACTGAAGAGATGGCAGAAAATAAGGGCGAGAGAAATGCAACACAGGCCTCTGGCTGGACTCAAGTGAAAAATGTTGTGGTTCATGGTCGACACATTAACCTCTGAGCATCCAGGATGCCCCTTAATAGTCAATTTCAGCGTGTTAGGGTGGATTCAAAATCAGAAAGCACTTGTGTACTCGTTGCTTTCTATGATCTCTGACAAGACAAAACAAGACACGCTTCCTTAGATAACTATGACCTGGATGACTGAGAACCTTCACAGGCAAGACATGCTTCCCTTTCTGTTGTACATCTTAAAATCTAATCATTTGAAGGAATATATTAACATATAGATTTTTCCAGTATCCAGCACAGTACATTCAAAACCTTTGTAGCAGTATACGAGTCTTCAGAATATAGTTGTCCAAGATGTACATAGTGAGAACAGAATCACACTAATAATAGATTTATTTCTCTCATGAAAAGTAAATATAATCCTTAAAGTGACAATAAACAAGATGATAATAATGATAAAGAAGATGATGATGACTCACATCATGAAGATGGAGGTGGCGATGAGCGAGGCAGTGAAGAAACCTCTCTGACAGTCGACGTTCTTTCTCTGTCTCTGGTGCATCTCCCCTCCACAGTTCTCACAGCATCGACACACACAGAAACACATGCCTATGATGGGCGTGAGGACCACGAACGTGATACCGATGGTCGCACAAATGAAGAATCCGGCCTCGTAGTAGATCCACTGCAGGAGGAGAGGATTCATACAATCATCAGAATTATTTTTGAGACATCGTAGTGTGGATTTTATGAGATTTGAGCACACACGAGGAGTTTACCTGTAGTAATAGGACCACATTTTCTGGCTGTGACCCCATAGTAAGTGCACACCGACACACACCGACACACACACACACACACACACACACACACACACACACACACACACACACACACACACACAAACAAACACAAAACACACACAAAACACACAAATCCATAGCAAGAAGAAAAGACAAACAAAAAAAGGTTAGTGTGACAGCCAACAGATTAGGAGGCAGCAAAATTCCTGTTTCTATAGAGGCATGTGAAGACAACATTAAGAGTCAAGGAAGAAAAAAATATGAAAACAAAAGTTGGTTGAAATTACTGCTAACAAGTTAAAATCAAACCAAGGGAATCCCAAAAGTCTTGCTCACAGCTCTAATTGTGATTCTTACTATAATGTGTCCAAAGTATTTGAGACTAATATTGCAAAAATACTGAGGCTTTATATATTACCATATAGGTTTTATTTTCATTCATATGGCACACACAATCTATAAACAAGTAATACACAAGTATTAATTAAATCAACAAATATCAAAACATTGCAATATCAAGATTAAGTTCATCCCAGTTATCACTTAAATCAAACATACCTTTCTCCATTCTTCTACTTTGATTCCCCCCATGTTTTGTTGAATAACTTTAACAATCATATCTGAAACAAAAAAAAATAGAACAAATAGGTAAGCACTTGTACAACCATGTTTTACAGGAAGTGTACGGCTTATAGGTGACCATCTGCCAATTTTAAACGCAATCAAATACACTTCCTGTATGAAATCTGACAAGCTACGCTATCCATTTATCTGTTCATGAGCAGACAACACAGATTATGCGGATTCATTTTTTTAAATTTCTCAGGACAGTATTGCAAATGTATTATCTCGTGTTTTTAACAGCTTTGTGTTTTGCAGAAGCTGTTTAAACTGTTTGGACTGAGGACTGAGGACTGCAGTCCAGTCCAGCTGTCTGTGTGTATATATAGGTCAGCCAACACTAAGCCTACCTGGATGTTGACTCACCCACACTGTTACTCAGCAGGTACACACTGATTCCACTTGTATGCATATACACAAACACAAACTCACACACTGTACGTGTAACACATTACATACAAATGGTAATGTCTAAATCTAAACACCTGAAAGAAACATCAAACGTGTGGACACAGGCTAGAGATCAAATGTAACTATGTACATTTACTTAAGTATAAGTCATTTTGAGGTACTTGTACTTTACTAGTATTTCCATTTTATGCTCCTTTACTTTTATTATTTATTTTATACTCCATTACATTTCAGAATGACATATTGTAATTTTTGCTCCACTAAATGTATTTGACAGATATAGTAACTGGTTACTTTTTACAGATTCAGTTTAATACAAAATATAATTGATATTCAACAACAACCTACTAAGAAATGATGATAGATTTTATATAGATTACAGATTAAGATACATGGCAGCATATAGTTCAAATTAGCTCCTCCTTAATCTGCTGCAACATTAGTGATACTTACATATTGATATATCAACAATTACAGTCTGATAATATAATATTCATTACTCTGAAGTGGGCCATTCTGTATAAAGAGTACTTTTACTAATGCTTATGTACTTTAACCCAAATAAAACTTTGAACAAAACTTGTAACAGAGTACTTCTACACTGTGGTTTTTGGTACTTTTTACTAAAACTAAAACATCTGAATACTTTTTCTACCACTGACAAACATATGTATGCAGATACAAATTTAAATATTTGAACACTGAGCACTACTTGCATTATGATGCATATATAGTAAAGACAATATTTTCCAGTGTTTATCAGTTTGTCCAATCTCTGAAAAATGTCTGCACTTCTTATCTCTTTTAAGAACGTAATATTGTCATATAGCAAGCCTCAGGTTGGACAATAGGTGACACTGTACACGACAAGCAGATGGAGGCCAGTTTAGCATGTAGATGCTGACACAGCTGGTACACACACACACACACACACACACACACACACACACACACACACACACACACACACACACACACACACACACACACACACACACACACACACATCATGTGTCCTGCCTTCTGTTTGCACACCTCCTGACCCTCAGGTGAGGTGAGAAAACACACAGATTTGTTTGGGACCTTCTCTTCACTCACAGTTAAAATGTTCCAGTAATTGAGGTGAATTAATAAAAGTACCTTTCTAGTGAGTAAAAGGAGCTGAGATTACGTAACAATATGGATAATCCTCTCAACACCATCCTCCTCTCCCGGTGGGAGGTGGCTGCTTTCTTCACCTCAGATCTTTGCTAACTGTTTATAAAACCCGTCCACCTGCAGCGGATCTTATGTTGTCATATAGGGTGAAGGCGTCTAGCTCTGTTAACTCTGCAGATGCAGCATATGAGCACATCTGAGTCGTGTCGATGCCACCTGCTGTTGCTCAGCTACTTAGTTAGCATTAGCCACAAGGCAGTTAAGCTTAGACAGCTTAGTTCAGTGACCCAGTATAAGAGGTAGCTACTGCAAACGAAAGGAAGAGGGGGGATAAACAACCATCAGAATAAGACTTGAAAGCGCAACTTGAATTAATGTGTCCACTTCAATAGTCAGGGAGAGGAAAAGGAATTACTTCGCTCGATGGGAGGAGGCATTTATTTTTTTACATTTTCATGTTTTCAGTGTCTGTTGTGAAGAGCTACCTTTCATAGACAAGCTTTTTAAATTATCATTGTAGTTACTGAACAATCTGTGTGCATGTCTCTGTCATTCTCAAAGGCCTGTAAAGGTACAAGGTAGTTTTATTTATCATTTTACACTGGGGTTGTAAAACAAGATGAAGATCTATTATTGGACCTATTAGTTTTTCACGCCAGTTAAACAATGTAAAATAATCGATGGATTCACAACAGAACAAACACCCACACGGGTCCATACAAGCCACTAAAAGGCAAAAAAATGTCAGCAGCGAACCATCAAACCCTGCTGCCAGTCAAACCTTCTACCGCCTTACTGTAATGTATAAATATAGCCTAGCACAATCCTCCATGCTGACCTGCTCTGAGAGATTACTGGAAGGTGTGGACAAAGCCTTATGTAACCCAACAACCATTTCTACTTTTAACATTATAGGGCTTATTAAAAGTAAAGTAATACTCTCAGCCCCACACACACAAAACACAGAAGGCTGGAACAAACATTTGCATGACGGCATCCAACTCCTGATACGGTTAATTGTGGATTTTAGAAGTGTATTATCCAACTTGTTCACCTTCATGGTGCTTACTTTTGATAAGATGTTTTTGTTTTTTGTTTGTACACCATGTTGGTCAGTGTCTGCCAATGTGAAAAGTCTCTTCAGCTCCCTGGACAGTGGAACTGACGTTAACACTTTGAACTCCATTTAGGGAACTAGAAAATTAAATTGCAACGCAGCCGCAAGCAGTGGCTCTCAGCTGTGCTCTTTGGCTCGTCATGCATTTAAATTGAAGCAATGTCTAATTGCAACCCCTCATATCAGATTGCAAATGTTTATGAGATGTGAGCAGTTTAACCAGAGAGTGATTTTCACACCTGAGAACAGCCTGCTGCAAGTCATACAGTTTTAAATGAGGTATTTTAGGGATCTGAAGAGGAAGAATAATCAATAATGTCACAAGAAAGGAGCAAACATTAGAGAAATACCTAAAAAAACCATCAATATTTGACTCAGAAAAGTTGCTCTATTTTTTGTGACCCCTTCAGATTTAACATGAGACCCCTTGGGAAGTGTCCTGATCCCCAGGTTGGGAACCCCTGCTTTAAAGTTACCATGAGACAGCATATGGTTGGACACTGTCTTAATCAATTGTTTTGAAGTTTAATTGGGTTCACAATGTGAGATTTCAAAAGAGCCAAGATCAGTCGTTTACTACAGTATTTTTTTTTTAACAGATGTCAGAACATTAATAGGAAGTGATGTTGTGGGCTGCAGTTCAAAAGGTGTTACAACATTAAGTCATGTCAGGTTGGAACTTACGTTACTTTAAATACTACTAACCAGATGGTTACGGGTATGGTTATACTCAGTATTACACAAGGCTTTATGTACAGTATGTATTTTCAAGGCACCAGGAGCTAAAGAAAGTTACACAAGTCAAGAGGATTATAAGGCATGTCTGCTTTCCCCATTTGCACTAGACAGTTCATGAGACACTACCCACAAGGAATTATATTTTAAGATCAGATAAAGAGAGACAGGAGACCGCAGCAATTATTTTCATTATCAATTAATCTGCCTATCATTTCCTTGAAAAATTGCATTGCTTGGTCTATAAATAGTGAAATATAGTTAAAAGCCAAAGATATATAGTTTACTATCATAAGACTAAGAACATCAGCAAATAACTGTCAATCAATAATTTTTGTTTCATTTTTGATAAGAAAATTACTTAAAATCTATTTTCTTTTGATAGACATAATCTCTATCAATTAATAGTAAAAACATTGAACCCCTTGCTTGCAAAGAGATCATTTTCATTATTGATCCACATAAATAAAAGTGCATGAACGATTAGGCCAATGGCAACTACTGTTTGTTTGGGCAGATTTAAAGCATCAATGCATGATAAACTTGACTTTTTGGAGGGAGTAATTCCTCCCTTATCTCACACATGCATTACTTAAATATTCTTATCAGACAACTAAGGTTAGGTTTGTGTGATCTGATTTAAGACATTTGCTTCCTGATAAACAAACTTCCAACTACCAATCACAGTAATTAAGGCAAACAGAAAAGTACCAGGACTATGACCCACTTTCAGGGAGTGTGTGTATGTATGCATGCTCGTTCTGTGCTTGCATGTGTTTGCGCGTGTGTGTGCGACAATGCCATCTGTAGCGGTGGTAGCTGCGTTAGCATTAGCCCTGTGGATGCTAATCCTCTAATCTACGCTGTGTGTATCAGAGGGATAAGTGACTGCCTCTTCACATTGTGAAAGAGACCCAAATGCTTCTTCACCATTAAAGCAACCTTCACACATATTCGTAGAGAGGGATGAGCGAGTCAAGAGAAGGGGAACCAATGATGTTAGCAACATTATTAAATTGTTGTGAGATTGATCCACCTTAGACAATCCAATTGATCTGATAAGACCAATCAATGAAATACCTTTCCTCAGTCTCCCTAACATTGATTTACGTTTCTACGTTTAATCTGAAATTAGATGAGCTTGTATAGCACACAAGCCTTTATTTGCCAAAAATCGTCCAGATTTTTTCAGGAGTTTCAGCAGCAAAACAACATTTGCAGAGAAACAACCCTCTTAATAAAAACTATAGTAGAAGTAATATTTTTTTATCAGCAAATTGCATTTATGCTGCGATAACTTCAACTCTTTTTCAGCCTTTTTGTACAGTTTAATGTTGAATGTTTTCTTGCCAGAGATGCTAACTAGGATCATTTAGCAAGATTTATCTCTAAAACTTTTGCTGTTGTTGGGTGTTTGTTAGTTTGCAACACCTCAAAACACAAACAAACAACTGTTTTATTATATATTAAAAAACTGTCTTGTATGTCAAAAATGATCAATAGGCACCCAGCCAATTCTTGATAATAATAATAATGGAGTCTACATCAATAGATACTTGCAATAGAAATTATATGCTTATATATATTTAAAGAAACATCCACAGTGTTAGTAATAGAAATATACTAGAAATTTTTACATGTACCTACTTTATCTTACTTAGAAGTGTTACCTTTCACCCAACAAGGCAGCTACAAAAGTAGCTTGGGGAATATTTACATATGATGTGGTCATATAAATGGAGTAAAGACCAATATTTAGACAAAACAATGTTTAGAACAGTAGCAATGTATTTAATTACTTTCAGTTCTAACCTACAATATGTCCAAAACCTGTGTAATGCTATACTGTTCTTTGTACAGTTTTTCTTTTGTCTTTCTAAATGACTTGATTTTATAACATAACCCATTTACACCTAAAATATTAAACATTTTAATCAACAACTTATCTGACAAAAAAACATTAAAATGCTGTTGGTTGTGACATTTATAAGGATGAACAGATCCTAATAAAACCAGTTTTCTAAAAGACACGTACCAAGTCATACCAGGTAGCTCGCTACTATAATCAGTAATGCAATTCAGGCAACTTACATGTAGTGTAAGCAGTTTGAACACACATTAGTAAACAGCTTCTGATATCTCATAGAGCTGGAAAAGTGAGTAAAATATGTGTCTAATAATACTCATACAAGTACATACAGTTGTGCTTCGTATAAAGTGAACCCAAATGTCAGCCTGGTTACAATTGTTGGTATTTAGTCTGTTATTTGTGCCAAAGGCTGTTTACTGTATGATGACTCACTGTATAATATAAATCAGGCTTTGCTCTTTTACTTTTTTTTAAACCTTTATTTATTCAGGGGAACTTCACTGAGAGGAAGCCTCTCTTTTGCAGGAAGGCCCTGATCACATTCACACTATTACACACCTGGAAGCTGCCCAGTACAACCGCAGCCTGGTCTGCTGGACACTAAGCAGCTCCACTGGGGCTGTTGGGGTTATGGGCCTTGCTCAAGGGCACCTCAGTGGTGGTAAATGAGGTAGGGCAAGCACTGCTTGGTTTTATTTCCACACCCAGATTTTATCCTACCGGTCTGGGGATTGAACCGGCGACCTCCCAGTCACAAGCTCGCTGCTCTAACATCCTTACTTTCATAACAATCCCCTCTAAGGTTTTGGGTTCACAGACAAATGGTCGCTGGACTCTGTTGCTGCCAGTGTAAAATTATTAACTTGTTTATGGCTCAGACTAGGACCTGGTAGTAGCATTGTGGTCAGCTGAACCTGCCAAAACTCAATGTCTTCAGTAATGCAGTTATAAACAGCGTAATAATTAACCTGTGTATATACGATATGTGATGTGGGCGTGTGTGACATGATGATCCAGGTGGTCTCTACCTGTGCGTGTGTGTGTGTAAGGCAGACAGTGAATCATACTGAAAAGTCCCTGGCAGTAGCAGCATATGGCTCAGTGGATTAAGGTATTATGCAGTGATGCAGGTGACTGAGAAAGCCTCCTCTAATCGCTGATCTGCTAATTGATTACCAAGCCAGCGGCCCTAACCCTGGGCACCAAAATGGCAGCAACTTAAAACCTTCAATCCTATTGCACCGTGTCATCCTCCAATGTGACCGTAGTTGTACATAAAGCACACAAACACACCACTTTAGGTTGGTTGCAGTTCTATATAGCCATCATTGGGTTACTTAACTACACATGGGCACCAAGACAACAACATTCACTATGTTCTGATCACGTGACAGACCTGATCACCTTTTAATCACCTCAACAATGTTAAAGCATGGGCCTCGAGAGGATCACCTATGAGTTATGGCAGCTATTGATCCCATTAATCTACTCATAATATTGGTTTATGTGCTCAACATGCACACAACATCAATGCATGCAGTCCCTCCGTGCACTATTTTGACCCAGTAGCATTTTACTCTGGGGCAGTCACTCCCCAATTACCCCTCAACACAGGCCTAAGTGTGGATACGAGCTGTGGGCAGTTTATATTAAGTTTGATTTCCCTCGCAGATTGTCTCGTTTGAAGGATTATTTGAGACCTGAAGATGTGAAAATATAAAGCAAAACTTAACTTATAAACAGTTTTGTGTGACAGTAATACACATTTCTGACTTTGATAATCTTGTCAAACTCTCAGTTTTATCTTCGGACACATTGAGTGGGTGGACCATTTAGCTGTCACTTTATGTAAATAAAAACCGATGGTGTAGCCAAATACTGACAGGTGAGATGTTAGTGCCTTACAGACATCACAACTACTATCCAAACTGACATGGGCATTGGACACTGACAAGGATTTTTATCATGTACTATTATCATATTCCTCAACTAAATTCACTGTTGGTCACTCCTATTCATACTTATTTTTATGGCATCTCATACTTGCAGTGTGATGGACCTCCTAATACAGATCATAAAAATTTTCAAGTAGCACTGGTGTAGTTTCTGTGCAGTTTTTATAGTGATGTGGTCAAATTGTATCATAGATGCTTTCAGGAAGTGTCATGCATTTCACCATCAATTTGTATCACTTTTTCTATATTTATTTTCATTACTTTTATTTTATTTTACTATGTATAGCCTATTTAGCATATTATAATACAACATATAATGTAAAACAAAATGTATATGTAGCATAGGCCTATGTGGCACAGAAAAAAACATTTGGATGAATAAAGCTCTATCATATTTTATCTTACCACTATGTTAATTAAGTCCCAATCTAAATTCTTTTGGGACACACATATTGGTTAACATCCATTAGAAAACACCTGAAGTGACAATAAAGCTAAACTTCCTGATCAAGTCAGGTCTGAATCTGAAGGGTCACAGACTTTAGTGTAACACCTGTTACAGCGACATGCACACATGCACACACACACACACACACACACAACTCACATTAGCATAACGGTGATTTAATAGAAATTTGAGCTTAGTTGCACCCATAAGGAAAAAAAGCAAAGCCCTGATAATTTTTCCTGAGGAGTAAGAAACAGAGTGAAGATGCAGAAAGATGGATGTGGAGTAATCTCACCTTTGGGAAAGGGGTTCGGTTGAACAACGTAGAGATAAGCATGGACCATGTGGAAGAGGAGCCCGATGGGCCCTGGCTCGTAGTAAGCGTGGGTATCATAAACCGCCGCCGGTACAAACCCAAAATCCAACGGCTCCACAGGTGGGGGGCTCCGCTGTCTGCGGGAGTCCGCCTGGACTTCAGCAGGGGCCCGGTCCCTCTCATCCGCCTGCTGCTCGCCGCTTGTGGCCCCCCAGCAGAGCAGCAGGACGAGCCACCTTGTCCACAACATGGCTCAGTAAAGTCCAGCTTTGTACAAAAAGAAAAGAAGAACTACTAGAAAAAGTATAACTCCCGGCCCCGGTCGTACTACAGTCTAGCGGGGGATGGAGAGGGGAGACGGGCTGGTGACGTGAGAGGACACCTGTCCCTCTCGGTGGCTTATCCCCGCAGCTCAGGAACAACCTTCCGAAGGAGAACTTTTAAACTTAACATCCAGTGGTCGAGGTTCTAGCAGCCGTTAGCTCCTGGTTTCTCGGTACGGACTCATCACAGACATCTTCCCGGAGGTCTTCGACGACTCACAGAGGACCGGCGGCCGAGGATGCGCTTGTTATCTCGGAGTCCTCACTCTGACCCGCTGGCTGCCTAATCTCGCGTGCACGTAAAACCCAAGAGCGCTCGTGTCTGCTGAAAGCTCGTCCGGCCGCTTCTATGGCGCGCGGCACCGCGGGGGCCAATCAACTGTTAGCTGCAGGCAGTGGAGGAATGCAGCTAGTAGGCTAGATTTATCAAAGTACTGTACAAATTTGAGGTACTTGTTCTTCACTTGAGTACTTTCTTTTCATACTACTTTATACTTCTACTCCACAACAATTTAGAGGGAAATATTTTATGTTATACTACTAGCTTTATGGCTACTAGTTAAACACTCTTCATATGTTTTGCATTCAAAACATGTGAGCTTATACAATATGATGGGATTGTTATAAAATAAACTACACAACACAATATAGCCTACAATTGGGTATGAAACAATTTGTAAATTAATTGATAAGTCCGTTGATATAAATGGCATTATTTTGATAGTAGTTCAAGTAATTTTCCATGCAAAAATGCATATTTCATGGTCCCATATTCTCAAATGTGAGGATTTGCTGCTTTTCATTTGAATTATTTCTAGAATTGAAATTGATTTAAAATAATTACATTAAATTTAAAATAAATGGTACCTATACTTTATTTGACTATTTCCATTTGATGCTACTATATCTTTCTGCTCTACTATATTTATTAGACAGCTTGGGAGTTACATTTAGCTAATTTTACATATACAAATCAATTAGCTTATTATTATTATAGTTATAGATTTAGACAGTTAAAATGTGCTCCACTAAACTACAACAGTAGAATGCTGCTTACACAAGAATGCATCAGTGATAATTCAATAATATAATGTATGACTAATTTTACTTCTACTTTATATAAATTTTGCTGATCATCAAGATTTTGAATGCAGGACTTTTTCTTGTAACACTACTTTTACATGATTGTAGGCAAGCATATAGTCAACCTTATTTGTCACTTTACATCCAATGATGACACACCATCATTTGTGAAAATGTTTTTCCTTCAAAAATATATAAAAGTGTATCTGACTCTCGGTGCTTTAATGAGAGAAAGCAATACAGATGTGAAGCTAATTCCCCTGAAAGCAGACTGGATACTTGCCTAAAAAATTTATACAGCTAAGCCTTGAGTGTGTCTGTATTTTTACTACTACTCACCATAACAGCAGCAGAGGTCAGAAGGTGTCTGTTTACAAGAGAAACAAAAGACATGATCTCAGCAGGGCTCTGTTTGATTGCGAGGCAGGTCATTGGCTCTCTACTGAGGGCTGACCTTTAGCTCTGAGGTTAATCAGATAGGTGGTCAAGGCTAGTGACATTTTTGGCAAGCACAGAACGTTCGGGTTCAAAAAAGGGAAAATCCGAAGTTCAGTTACAGCCCGGGTGAGTTGTGCAAGTCTTAGAAAATACCGTTGAAGTCTCTGATATGTCGGCGCTCTCCTTCATCCTCTCACCTCCTCACATGGCACACAGTGCACTGCTCAAGTGTAAATGTGAAAACACAAATCATGTATCCAGATGAAGATAATTTATCAGTGTTTGGACCCTGAAAGAAATGCCCCCGTGTGTGATGATAGACAACCCCCCCGCCTCCAAAATGACCATTCAGGGGGAACAGTGGATTGCAGTGTTTGTCCTGCGAACAGAGCCTGCAGTGACTCTTTTCAGTGAAACACCCGCCACTGTTCCCGTGCTCTCACACACACACACACACACACACACACACACAAGCTGAAGCTGTATTAGACAGTCACATCACACCAGAAAGGGTTACAAAACAAAAATCTTGTTTTATTCTCCTTCTACCATGTAGAAGTTTTACATAGATTTTGTACATGAAAAATAAAAACAATGACTTTTCTGATTCATACATATAGCATGTCTTTTGGTAGTGAGATCCATCCATGCACTAGAAATTACTCACACAATCTCACATCACATCTGTCATGACACATCCACACTCTTCAGTCCTTCGTTGTAAGACCGCGGTTATTTATTTTACTGTATTGACTGTCCTCCTATAGTAAGGTTGGACTTAACCCCTGCTTGTGCCTCTCATGTATAACTTTTACATTTTAGTCACAGCTAAGTAAACCATCTTTTTTTTGAGCATTAAATAGCTGGCAATCATTGAAAACCCCAGAAACTAACTGAAATGGATGGAAAAGATATTAATAAAGTGTGTGGGATTCTTTGTTTACTAGAGTTTTTGATCCTATGCACCACTTCAAGGTGTGCAACACCTATATAACATATTTACAAAGTTGCAATTGTAATTCCTTCCCAGGTGGATATTTATTTTGTGTAAAAACATAAACATCAATATAGACAAATTAAAACTTTTAAGACAATCTTAAGAAAATAGTCGCTTGAGAAACCAGTTAAAATATTTATTATCCTGCAGTGAACAGAATATTTTGTCATTCAGATGATTCTGGAAATATCTCCAGAACAGCAATATGTGTTGTTAAAAGACATTCTGGGTTTTTCAAAGATCACCAAATATTTATTTTTTGAAAGCTGGCACTTCAGACCAGAGTTATAATGTAAGCTCCACTTAATTTGTCAAACAGTGCCTCCAGCTTTCACAGCATCTTAAAAGACTGCGGCGTACACACAGACCTTGTTGCAATAATCAAAGCCAACAGCCAACCACATCAAAAAAAAATGCCAGCAACCTTTAGGGATCAAATAATTTTTTTTTTCCAATTGTAAAGCTCTCTGACAAACAAAAATAGCTTGATTCACTATTCTGACTTGATCACAGTGCTGATATGATGCTCCATCTTGTTATTTAGAGGTGATTCACCCTTATAGAAGTGTCTCCGCCTTCAGGTATCCTTGAACATTTTACCTTCATAAATGTAATTGTTTTTTTATATCACTGTCAAAATAATGGTTAAGAATTAGAAAACATGTTGAGTTGATGCCAGTGTCTCTCACACGCACACACGCACGCGCACACACACACACACACACACACACACACACACACACACACACACACACGAAGCATATTGGGGGGGGTCACTGAAAAAGGAAAAATCTTCCAAACATGTCTGGCTTAGCGTCCACTTCAAAATAAATACTCGTGCTTTTAGAAACAGGCACAATCTTATCTCAGTGCTTCAGAGGAACAATATCAACACAAACTGCACAATACTAAAACCTCCAAACTTTAATCTGTGTTTTTGGGTAAAGTCACCGCTGTGACGAAGCCATGAGGATGTTGACTGAAGGGCTGTACTTGGTGTCACTGCTGCCATGTCTAACTGCTATAGACATCTGGTCACATCACAGTAACTTCATTTAAACAAGCCCCCCCCCCCAAATGTGTTTTGGTGTGTGCGCCCGCAGAGCGACTTTTTAGATTTTTAGCATGTAAATGTGTTTGAGTCTTATTCCTGCAGTTGAACACGGCCAATTTTAGAAAAAAGATTTGAGATTCTTTGTAAAAACTTCATTTCAAATATTAGAATTTTTCAGGCTTTTGAAATAAAAAAAAAAAAAAAAGTACAAAAATTGACAAGTTTTGTTTTCTCTAAAAACAACTCTGCGCTTTACATATGATTGTGCTTTTGAACACATACCCGCACAGTCCAGCTGTCATGTTCCTATGATCACACAGCGACCCACGTTGAACGATTTCACATACGCAGATTTGTTTCTCCGTTGACGCTCTGCTCCAGCTGTGCATGCCAGTTTTCTACCATCGTCGTCATCAGCAAGCATGTCCGCAGATTGCCATTACAACCAAGACCCATCCTCAAGAGTCTACCTGGTTCACGAAGGGCACCTACTGGACCAGATGGAACCATCTGAAGTGACCTCTCATGCTTGTAGTAACAGCTTTATGCCTTGGCTGGTTTTGTCAGTAATAAATAAATAAATACTTCAGGGGTCAGGCGCACAAAAATATGGTCTGAGCATACTCCGTGACCCGTGTCTGATCCCTGAACCTTTGCCAGGTCACTGGCTGGTTGTTCTATATGGCATTTCAGTCTATTCGGTTGCCACAGATGGTGAAACGATCTATTTCCAGCAAATCTTTCTTGGGTGTTCGGGGTTCAAGTCCATCCCCTTCCAGTTCCGTATTGGTGTTGATGATCTTATCATCATCCCCATCTGGTGTTGTCAGGAATGTGTCCGAGTCGCTCTTAGGGAGTGTAGGGGCGGAGCTCTCTGCCATGTTGGTGGGCTGAGGATTGTCTGATGCCAGTGATATTCCGCCTTTGGCGATTGTGGGTTCTGTTTGAGGAAGAGCAGTCAAGTGTTTTTATAAGCAGCAAAGGAACATACATACATAGAACAACCGACAGTTCACGCAAATGTACAATCATAGCTTAGCACCTGCAACTAGGCATGGTGTGCATGGGACTGTAGCAAGAGTGATACTTAGCCTTTAAATAGTTTTGTGGGTAGTAACTGAGCACTACTTCCAAGGCCAAGAGGCACATCATTAACTAATTAAATTAGTTTGTGGGGTTAAAGAAAGCCCCATTTACTGGCACGTTCGCTGTGTAGTATATATTTCAGAGGGTAAGGTTAGCAGCTCTCAAATCTGAGAGGTTTACACTCCAACAACACCAGCCAATGTTACCCAAGAAAGTGTTATATCCTCAACATAAAAGCCTTTTCTCTTGTAACGTTTATATTTAAAACATACTGTTTGAAATACTAACAAGTGTGTAGCCAAACACGTTTGTGTTGAATGAACAGTCTTCAACAATCTTTTTTTCTCTCATCGTACTTATAATACTAAAACTGACCAGCTCTAGACTAGGACTGCTCGATTATGGCAAAAATCATAATCACTATTATTTTGGTCAATGTTGAGAATCACAATTATTTAACACTACTGACTTATGAAACATCATGCATTTATTGATTTTTTAATGCTTCAAGGTTTTTTTTAAATGATTGTATGCATTACTCAAACATCGAAAAGGCTTCCCTAAATTTTACATGTTTTTATTTTAAGTATAATTTTGGAAATTACTTTTATTTCTCATATCTGTTTTGTTTCATCTCCCTATATGTTTTAACTGGTTGAAATAGTTTTAATTAAATTATTTCATAACTTGCATTTGATTCTTGGCTAATTTATGCAGTGTAAAATGCCACAGAGTTAAGCTAATAATGACAATTAGCAAGTTATAGCAGTTGTAACTCCGGTCATCCTGGCTCAAGCCTGGCTGAGAGAGACTTTGGGCTTTTAGGGAAGGGCGAGAGTCACCGCAATAAAGTGCTCAAACTACACTGAATTAATTTACAAGAACAATTATGATGAACTGGTGAGGATGCTTACTTTTCCAGAGACAGGCAGTTTTAGCCTCAGTCTTTTAGCACAATTTGAAATCAAGGAACCATTGTTTCAGAAATTACAAAGAATCTGAGTGGTAAATCTGCCCTGTTATCACTGTTAATTGCATATGTACCATAATAATCTATCCAAAAGTACAATGAGAGAACATAAAGAATCTGACAGACATGACAATATATTTAGCAATTTAGGAACCGATAACTGATTGCTACCTTGCTGTGGTGCAGTGTGAACGTGTTTGGTACGGTGAGCTCTGGAGTTTGCGCGGCTGGACACAGCAGAGGGTGGAGGGTCGAAGAGCTTCTCCTCCATGTTGGCCTCTTTGACGAACATACAAGACGTCCCCAACAGAACGATACTGTTGAGCACCTTCAGAGTGATCATCCTGCTCACACACACACACACACACACACACACACACACACACACACACCAAGTGGATATGGGAAAATACATACAAAAAGTAAGAAACGCTTAACTAATAAAACTGCAAATGTGTGTTCAAAATCTGGAAAAGACAAACGGATTTTACCCCAGGTAAAACAGCAGCACACACATAAAGGAGAGCGAACCCTGGATCTTCACTGAGCTGGTCACTACTCTGATCAACTAAAAAAAAAAGAAACACAAACACATCATCAGATGCAAAGTGTATACACAGTCAACATTACAACAGGTACAATAGTAATGTATAAGTGACTGACCAGCAGAGCTAAAGGGAGGGGGATGAAGCCCATTCTTCTGGATACTGAGTCACTGTAGTCTGTGTAAGCCTGCAGACACATTTAAGACATTTCCTCAAAATGCATCAACAAGAATGAACACTGTTCTTCTTTCCAAACCAATGTGTAAGTAACAATATTTAATCAAATCAAGGAAACATTAGAGGAAATTTCCTGCAACTATCAGTCTCTGTTTCGCAGTCATAAATAAATAAATGTTGTATTTGGACATTTTGGGTAATGCAGCAGCGTTTTGGCTATAATGTGAAAAAACCTTGATTCCAGATATTTAATTCACTGGATTAGAGAAAGACACACATTTCCATCTGGGTATTTTATCTATAAATTATGTTGTCAGAGAGAGTACATTTGAAAAGCTCTAATTTTTCATCTAACATTTTATGTACAATACATCTGTATTCTCTTTCAGGAGCACATTGCAGCATCAGAGGAGAATTATGTAAGAACGACGATATACAGTATTTAAAACCTACATTTAATAAACATTATTATGACTAAATACAGTTTATAAGGCAAGTATGAATACATCACTTCTTTGTGTCCTTGTGTGCATAACAAGCGGCCACTTTTGCTGAACAGTTTCACTCACATTTTTCTGTCGACTGCTGACAAGGTCAAACGCAAGGCTGGCTCTGTATTCCCCGTACACCTGGACAATGATACAGAGGAACACAACATTAATCAGCCAAAGTAAAAACATCAGAGTATAGAAAGAGTATAAAAGACAAAAGGGAAAATGTGCAAACGTGGATTAAATGTGCACGAGCATGGATATGCAAGGGGTTGAACGCCAACTACATGTGATTGACGTGTGATTAGGTTTGACAGTCTGGAGATAAAGGGGTTAATCCCTTCCTGTGGAGTTGGTTTTCTCCTTGAAGGGAAATCAAAGAGGGAGAGAAAACAAGTGGGAAGCAGGAACAAGAGAAAATGGCTCAGCTGACAAATAGTTTCCATCTGATACTACAGTGCATCTGTGTGTGTGTGTGTGTGTGTGTGTGTGTGTGTGTGTGTGTGTGTGTGTGTGAGAGACAGTGAGAAATAGAGAAATAACCACCAGTTTGTAAAACACAAACAACACGTCTTGTACTGTAAGTCAGGTGGGTAGGAGAATAATCAAATCTGTTAATCTTAAATATTCATTCACCTTTGAAAAAGTAGATGAACAAAAAATTTTTATCTTAAGGTCCACTTACTAGCTTTGTCCTGAGCTTTTGACAGCATGTAAACATCTTTGTCAGGGGATAGATTTTGCTTGGTGTCAAGCAACATCTATTGCTGTGTCATTATTAGGTATTACTAAAAGCTATTAAGCCGCTGCCACCAATCCTTTAAGCCTAGTTCACAATACATGATTTTTTGCCCGATTTGCAGTCAGAGAGCTCGGCGACCGTCAGGCTGGGATCGGGTGTAAATCAGCGATCAATCGGCGGTCGCCAGTCGTTATTTGTGATCTACTCAACGATGCATTAAAACGGCTCCCCGACACATCACCGACAAATCGCTCACGCCAGCCAGATATCTAGCATGCCAAATATCTGGAGGAGTCGGCCGACTCGATATCCTAATCCAGCCAATGAGAGAAAGCAGCTGCAGAGCAGGCAGCTACTTTTTCACTGCAAAACTCAGACAACCCCTGATACCTGCGTGTGCTAATCCATTCTTTCATCCATAAGCTATTCTTTGTCTTTATAATTGCTATCTTTATAATAACAAACAAGAGCTGTTTCGTGTGTAGGTTCGCTTTATTTTCCATTTCACGTGTGTTTTCTTGACAAAACGTCGTTTGGAGACCAGCATCGGATGACACATACGCTGTCAGCTTCTGTAGTGTGTGACCCCCTGTCACCAATCAGTCACGTAGGGTCAACACCACGACTTCAAGACTCAAGAGCGGTCTTCTGATGTGCATGTGTTCACTTGTACACACTTCACTCGGTAAAAACGTTGTAGCCTATTAACTTACGTTACACGTCTCGGTGGATATTTAATGCAAGGACCAGGTGAAGCAACAGTGAACACAGTGCAGATGTTGGTTTCAGTTGTTTGACAGGCTACGTCATTAATAAGCCGTCATGCGGCTCACCTGCTGACCTAACAACAAATTGCAGGTGGAAAAATACGGGAGTTTTGCAATCACCATGCTGGCTCACCGTTGTGATGTCGGTCAGATAGACGATGGCATCGTCTAACGGCCCAACCCTACTGCTAATAGCCAATTCAGCACACTTTTAATGGTGCCAATTTGCCAAAATGAAAAGAAATATATGCAAAAGAAGGCTCGAGTTGATGGAAACATTGTATTTCCTGTTTACATCCCTCAAAGCATTATGGGAACAGCAGTTCCAAAACTCAGAGAACGATTGCCTCCAAAATTGTAAGTAAAACAAAGAGTAATTTTAAGAGTGACACTTCAGTCATCCATAAATATTAACTTTTTTTAATTCATAAAAACAGTCCTTAAACTGTAGTTTAGAGGCAGAGCGGGTTGCTCACTAATCAGAAGATCAATGGTTCAATCCCCGGCTCCTCCAGTCTGAATTTCAAAGTGTCCTTGGGCAAGATATTAAACCCCAAATTGCTCCAGATGGCTGTGTCATTGGTGTGCGAGTGTGTGCATGATTATACGTCTTTCGACTGATGAGCAGTTGGTCTGTCATCAGTGTATGAATGTGTGTGTAAAGCTAGAGACGTTTTAAGAGGAAGCACACCACTTTAAGAATCCTCAATACAACTCTACTAGGAAAGCATGTAACGCCAAAGATGGCGATTATCCTGCCCCGCACTCTAGAAAGACAATCGTCTGCTTTTAACAGCCGAGGCGGGAAACATATTAAGCCAATTGTGTGGTTCCACTGACGTGAGGGTATAACTGGTGGGGAAAACGCTTTTGTTATTTTGGGGCAAAGTCATCAAACTTTTTCAGCAATTTTTTTTAGCAGATTTCACTGGTGATTCTACACATTAAGTTTTAATGTCCGGTGACCAGCAGTAATGGCTCTTTTCCCATTCATTCAAATATGGGCCTTGTCTTGCTAAGACCGGAAAAAAACGCCCCGAGGCGTTACCAAGATGGCTGCTGTGTGGTGGGACTTGCCTATAAGGACTTTTGTAAAGTGCTTTGAGTAGTCAGAAGACTAGAAAGGCGCTATACAAGTGTAGTCCATTTACCATATATACTACAACTAACGTGCATTTCTGATTATGCCACCTTATTCTGAAAATAACAAGATATGACACGCTTGGCTAATACAGGTAATGATAACTGAGCAACCTCCTTTCACTGATGAGAACTGTAACAAAGCTAGTCAGGGGACCTTTTTTTAAACTCAAATTTAAAACTACTCTTTGTGGTAGACTGTGTTTAAAACAACTCACAACATTGCTCCCTTAGCTGTCACAACTTAAGACACTCACTGCGCCATGACCTAATGGATAAACTGTGAAAGTACTGTGGGCAAAGAGGACTCACATCAGCACTAATGTCATTGAATTTGGTGATGAAGGCGTGCTTGACTACATCCACAGCAACCTCCGAGGCTATCACCATGACTACATCAGGAAACAGCACCCACAAGTGGTCTAAAAACAAACATCAAAAAGTGGTCAGTACCAATAATTAGTTTACAACAGCTATAAAAGTCAGTGACAGTTCACTGAGGAGCCACAGTAAGAAGATCTGTGCAGCAGCACTGCGTTAGTTACCAGGGTTCCAGGAGAACTGCTCCATGTTTCTCAGACAGACGATGAGCAGGAGGATGTAGTTGGTGAACCTCTCTTTTATGTCTGTGGGAAACAAACAAATCAATCCTGGATTAACCTACTTTGTACTCACTGCAGCTGAGCTTGATTCCATAAATTTACCTTGTACTAAATCACCAAGTTCAACGGCAGAGTTACAAAATGTCCACAGACCGCTGATTTTGCGGCAGATATTTGTCTGTTTTAGGTATCAATCGCCACTTACCGCTGTTGGACATCTGGAAAAGGTTGTTCTTTTCAAACTTCTTGAACACACTTCCTTTGATCTCCACAAACTGCAAAAACAAGCAAAATACCATGGCTGAGCTCATGCTGTGTGCACTTTTAAATGAGTTAAATGTGTCTGTGTGCATTATACTCACGTTGTTTGACATCATGATGGTCAGCAGGGACTTGTTGTGGGAGTTGAAGGCTACATTGAGCGTGGTGGCCTGAACCATGATGAGGATGGCATGGAGAACTAGATACAAACATGCTGAGGAAAAAATACACTGAGGACTTCAGTAAATAATATCATGTCAATTTGGATGTACACCCACTAATATGCATGCTATACCAGTCTGAAGTAATTATTGATTAATCTGAAGATTAATTATCGTTGTGTGTATAAAATGTCCACAAACAGTGGGAAAATCCCTCTCAAAATTCAGTCGAGCCAATGTTGACACCCTCAAACTGCTTATTTTGTCCAACCAACCAAAGATTTACTTCACAATAACAAAAGACAAGAAAATCAGTAAAACTCACATTTGAGAAGCTGGGCCGTCTGGTATTTTTGCTTAATAAATTACTCCTAACCACCACTCTTGGGTTAGAGGCATTTGTCCTTGTTTTTTATCTACACCAAGGAAATATTCTGCCACTTTTAAGAGACATACGTTGAAAATGTAACAAATTTCATCATCCCAGACTGTTGTTGTGTACACTGTTACATCATGTATCTGTATGTGTGCAGGGAAATACATGGAAATACACTTGTAGATATCATTTCTATATCTTTTTATTTCTCAGTACGTTTCTTTCTGCTATTCTCTTTCCTTTTGTTCTCTAATCTGCTCTGAAATGAAACTTAACACGCCAATTAACTTAAAGTTAAGGTAAAAAAACTTGATAAATAGATCAATAAAACTGTTGCTGATTGAATTACGGACTAATTATTTTAGCTTTAAAGTTGTTTTTTTCTGACCTCAGACCTGCGCAGAGGGTGCCAACAAGATACACAGACTAGCAACAACAATCACAGCTCCTTATCAGTGGGGAGGATACAGACGTAGAGCACAGCCATGAGGAAGTGAGGAATCACGCCTATGTGTGCCCTCTTCTTCTCTTTGGGTTCTGTGGCTGTCCAGTATAGAGCGTCCAAGATGTCCTGGCCAAATGATGAGAACAGGCGGTCCGCCACCTGACAACACAACAGGGGAAGGACGGGAGGAAGGAAATGAGTGGGTGGCAGTAGAGTACAATCACAGTAGTTGACATTAGAAGTGTTATCTGGGTGTACCTCTAACATGTTGTATATGATGTACAGCTTGATGACAGACTGCCCCCTGATCAGGTGGTACATCATGGAGTAATCCACGTAGCTCATCATAGAGTAACACAGCACCATAATGAAGCCTTTCAGCACGTCACATACCTGGGCTGGCTGGAGCAGGCGAGAGCCACTAAAACACACAAACACAAATCACACGCAGAACAAAAGTTTACAAAAGAAAGCGACAAGAAGAGAAAGAAGAACAGAGCAATGCAGGTTATTATATCCTGTTTAGTTGGGTCGAAATGTCCTTAGGCATGATACTGAACCCCGAATTGCCTCTGGCGGCTGTTCCGCCAGTGAATGAATGTGTGTGGATAGTGAATGCAGATGTAGTGTAAAAGCGCTTTGAGTGGTTGAAAAGACTAGAAAGGCGCTATACAAATACGGAGCATTTACATTTAGTTTGAACACAGACCTCTACTGCCCTCTAGAGGTTAAGAAAATTGATTGTTTCTGTTTACAAATGTGGACATTACCATGTGAAGGTACTTGCCAAATCTGTATGCACTGGTTAGTTTATACCTGTATTATACCTTATAATCCAGTGTTAGCGAAATGGAGAAAAGGAGCTAATCCTCACATCTGAGAAGGTGAAAACCAGAGAATATTAGACATTTTTCCTTGATAAATTACTTGAACGATCTTGACTCGACTCAATTGCTTTTAGAGCTCAAACATTCAGTCGATTAATTGACCAACAGAAAATGTATCTGCAACTTTATGGTTAATCTCTCAATAGTAAAAAAATGCCACACATTTGATGGTTCCAGTTTCTCACATGTGAGGATGTGCTGCTTTTCCTTGTCGTACATTACAGTAATGAAATATCATTGTACTGTTGGTCAGACAAATGAAAATAATTGTTAGTTGTAGCCCTGGTCTACCTTTATCACTTATACTGGCACAGGGGGAGGAAATATTAAGAGCAACATCTGTAGATGACACAAACTTACAATAATGCATTCAGTACAACAGCTCTGTAATAAGTAATGCCTTTTATCTAATCAGAGGGGTGTTTGTTTCAATTTTGCATTCCTAATACCTAAGCATTTACTGTACCTGAGACCACAGCAAGGCAATGTGATGAGCCGTAAAAGGGCCAGAATCACCCTGAGGGGCAGCAGGGTGAACACATAGAGAAAGGCATCCAGACAGAGGAAGAAGCCGAACGTCATCAACTAAAGAGAGAGAATGAGAGAAAGACACAGAGAGGGAGAATATTTTTTTATTTGTGACTTTTAAAACATTTTCCACAGTATTTTTGTTTGTGTGTTTACCTTCTCGAGCTCCTTGGGGATGCGGAGACAAGTGTAGACCCTCTCTCTGCGTTCTGTGTATTTGGCCTCATTGTGTTCCAGGAAGTAGCCTCTGGTGAGCTCAGTAGTTATAAATCTGGCCAGAGACAGATCTAGAGCCAAAAACAAAGAGAGACAAAGCAATGAACACGCATAGACCTTAAAGCCTTTTGCCTCAACCAACCATCCTCTCTCATTTCCCATGAACAGATAAGCCCTGCTTTGCACACGCATGTACACACCTACACACACACCCCCACACAGTATGCAATATTCATTCATTTATTTTGTGGAGAGAAACGTCCATTGGCTGTGTGGCTTAGTTGTTTAGAGCTTGATTGTAACTACTATTTAATGATCGGGTTTCATTGGCCAGTTGCCCTGTCACATGCAAGTCTGAGCGCATGTGTTCACTACATGAACAAACCCTATGGAAAATAACTCGTGACATGTGTGCATACTTCTGCAGCTTGAGTGAAGAGAGAGAGAGACGAAAAGAAAAGTGAAGCGAGTCGGATGAGTGAAAAAAAAGGACAGAAAAGTAACAATATGATAGGGGAAATGTACATGAAACAGGGGCACATCAACTTGTGTTTTTACATATCAAATATCAAATTGTCATTGCAATATTCATAATGAATATTGCATTTTGTCAATATTGTGCAACCCTACATCCTACAGTACAAAGCTTTGACGACTTCATTCACAGGTTAGGAGGAGGTTCCTTCAAGAAATCCCTTCATTGTGGCCAAACATATTTGTACAAACTGAACATTGCACACATGTGTATGTGGCAATGGAGCAGCGGATAAGACACATGCCCTGGGGTGGGTTCGATTCCCACTTTGGCACATCCACCTTGCCATCCACTTACCACTAGTTGCTCCAGAGGCATGCAACCTCTGACGTATATAGCAATCGTAAGTCGCTCTGAATAAAAGCATCAGCTAAATGAGTAAATGTAATGGTAAACATCTCATTCCAAAAAACGCCAACCTGGCTGCAGGGATTTGCTCCCATTTAGTCACAAGAATATTAGTGTGGTTAAGAACTGAGGTTGCGTGATCAGACCTGGTTCGCAGTCGGGGTTGAAGTTCATAGCAAAGGTGTTGAGGGTTGAGATCATATCAAACTGGGAAAAACATTTGCTATGTGCAGGGGAGCATGTTTAGTTTGAAACAGCAAAAGGGCCTTCCTCAAACTGTTGCCACAATGTTGGAAGCACACTATTGTCTTTCATTTTTATTATATCCTGCAGCAATAATATTCTAATAATAAAGGGGCATTGCACCAATGTTATATATAAAAGTAGACGTTTTAGTAACAGGGTACTACCCAGCCTGTGAAAACAATTTTATTATGTTTTTTGAGGCTCAGGAGGAGCATTCTTGTCTCAGTGGGCTAACATGCATTAGAAAATAGGGTTGCGGCATTTGAAAGATGTGGGCGTTCACCAGGTGAGATAGGTCAAATGAAAGGCTTCGTCTAGTTGCATTATGGAAAGTGTAAAATCCAGTATTTTCTGAAGCTTGACCCACAGCAGAGAAAATAAAAAGTCAACATATGTCACTACCTGTTGCATCAACAGGCACAGTTGGAAAAGCACAGGTGTAAATACTAAAATTAATCATGGCTGAATTCCATTTAGCTCCTTCGGCTTCCTGGTATTGTGCATACTGTCACACTGTTTTGGCACTACTAAGAAACGGGAATAGAACAGAGCCATCTTTAATGTTGTGGGTAACTTTAATGTTGTGTGACTTTAACAAGTCAAAATGTCTGCTGTGATTGTGGCCTACTTTTTCCGGTCTTTCTACAAAGAAGTCTAGAAAGAAGCCTAGTCCAAACCATGACAATCAGCCACAGACTGAGTATAAAAGCAGTATGTGGACATGGGTGTCCTACACAGTACACTCAGCAGCACTTCTGAATGCGCATGTGCAAAGAAACCAGCACGTCTTACTTTGACAGAAAAACAAACTGGCCTAGACTGCATGATTACACGCAGCAGTGATGTCTTGCTGACAGTCGGGACTCCTAACACAAGTTATAATTCGGATGCATATGACATAAATTAGCCACATGAAGTTGCTTAAATTCAGCTCAGTGTTTAACAAACATTTGCTGTGGTGATATAGAGCTAACGTTAACGTTAGTTACATTCTGAGATCAAGTGGAAACTCGGAGCGGCGCACAAAGCTGGGGATTGAAATTGCAACTGCGTGCTCAAGCAACGGTATTATCACAGATAACCACACATTCAGTGTAGTAACGCAGTGGTTTGCTATGAAGTTAAAATCAAAAACATCACTTCAGCAGCTAGCTAACTTAGCGCTGTCAAACTGGAGACTGTGGCTGTAACGTAATGAAGAGGCTAACGCTCACCTGACAGGTTGCGTTTCTTGGCCTTACTGCCGCCATTTTTATCGTTGATCCTCAACGTCTCGGGGACGCCGTCTTTCTCCTTGTTATTCTCTGTTTTGGCAGCCTTTCGGCCCCTCTCACTGTCCTCTTTCTCCTTCTCTTTCTCCTCTCCCAGACCTGTCGACAGCGTGTCCGCCATCTTCGCCAAACGGTCTCATCTGCTGCCTGGGAGACTGACAACTGCGTCACACGCTCTGATGTCATCACGCCCTGTAGTTCCATTGAATCACCAGCAGGTGTCGCCAAACGCCCAGAGAGCACACATAGTGTTAAGTTGATTGATTAAATTATTCAATGACTGATTGATTGCTTTGTTTTCTCCCTCAAAGAACTTCTTCAGACATCACAGCTTGAATAAAAGGAATTTTATATATATATGTATATATATCAAAAAAGATTTAAAATTAAACAATATGTATTTAACCAAAATAGACCTACATCCAATACCAAAATACAACAATAATAAACTTCTAAAAATAAGTAGGCCTAAATAAATAAAACAAAACAAAATACATTGAGATACAGAGATTTTCATGTTTTGTTTTTACTGATTACTGCTTGTGCCTAATCATTCCAACAAACATTTGTTTTATGCATGTGGAATGTGTCTGTAATATATATATATATATATATATATATATATATATATATATATCTATATATATATATATATATATATATATATATATCTATATATATATATATATATATATATATATATATATATATATATATATATATATATATGTTATTTTTTTATTTATTTAATTTTTTTTTCTCTTCTCTTGAGAGCCTGTCTTGTGGGTGGGCATTGTGTGAAAGTCTATTTTTGTGAGCTAATTTTGTTAAAATTATGCTTACATGGTGTGCATTTTTAGATAAATGTGTTACATAAAATAACCACTAACAAACAGGCAAACCTGTAGACGGGTGAAGTTCCAGCATCAGGAGTGCTTGTTTATTTTCTAAGGATTTTATGAAAATCATAATAAATGTACCATGTGGTCTGCCTGCATGTACAGTTCATATGTTACACAGTTTGCAGATGATGGACGGAAGGGGTTTTAACAGGGACTCACAAATAAGACCCCTCCCCCCCATTTGCGTCTGGGCCCCTAAAAGACATAGCTTTAATGTCATTGTCTCCAACAATAAAGTTGCAGTTGCATATGCAATAAAGTACTGAGCCATTCAGAGATTTAAAAATAATAAAATAGTAGGCCTACATTATGGCATAGCAATATAAAAGTACAAAAGTATACATTATAACATAACAATATAAAATGCCTAAATGTAGCCTACTTAACTTTAAACCGCCGATTTGCAACAGCCAGACCTTAATGAATAAGTGGAGCGTGCAAGAAACAAGATCAGAGATGCAGGACAATAAATCCTTCATATCTAAACTCACTGGTCTTGCTCCAACCTGACCTTTAGGGTCCGTGAATGACAATGAACCACATATGTCATTCTGACTTCATTAACTCTGCTTTCGTGATTTTATAGCTATAGCTAAGGTCACCAATCATTTTGGTAATCACATTTCCAGTTCAAAAGGCCAAGTTGCAAAGGTTAATTTATCCCTGGCCTGAATAAAGAAAGAGAGAGAGCAGGGATAGAGCAGGGAGAGAGCAGGGATAGAGCAGGGAGAGAGCAGGGATAGAGCAGGGAGAGAGCAGGGATAGAGCAGGGAGAGAGCAGGGATAGAGCAGGGAGAGAGCAGGGATAGAGTTTCCCCCCGGTGAGAGATCTCTTTGACCGCTAGGCTATAGATTCGGTTTCTCCTCCTCTGTGACACGCACATGCAACAGTTCACCAAGAGAAATAACCTAACTATTTCCCCTGTGATGATTATTTTTTCTTTTTCTAAACTATAGATTAAACTCATGGTGATCGCCGAGTGTGCTTCGCGGTCGCAGCCCGGCGTCGTGTTACCTTCCTCGGGGCACCATGGGCTCGTAAGATGCCTTCGCTGTGGAAACGGATAACGTTCTCGGTGGCCTCGGTGCTCTGTGTCGGCTCGGTGGCTCTCCTGGTGGTGGCCCTGTCCACGGAGCGGTGGGTCACCGGACGGATCCTGTGTAAAACCGGGGCGGATATAGTGAACGCGTCTCATCCGGAGCTGGACCAGTTCATCGGGGACATATACTACGGCTTGTTCCAGGGAGGAAAGGCCAAGAAGTGCGGGCTCGGCAGGAGGCACTCCAGAATATACAGTAAGATTACATCCTGTAAACTGTCTGTTCAATCTTGTTAAGACTAGCCTACCAAAATCAATAAACATACATTACATCAGCCTATTTATCAGTGAAAATTCTAAGATCTAACATCCATATGAGAACATAGTAGGCTATCAACAAAGCAAACATAGGCCTACTCCATTAATGTATCAGCGCGCATCATCAAAATGATCTTTTAAGAGCAATACAAGTTCTGGAGATCATAAACTTTCCAAAAAATACCAAATAGCTTAGCCTAATTCATGTTGAATTTTGAGAAAATGTGTACAAAATGATGCAGGAGACATCTAGAAAATCTAGCCTTACTATTTACACCAGTGGTGGGAAGTAACTGTAAGTGTATTTACGCAAGTACTGTAGGCCTACTTAAGTACACCTTTGAGGTAGGCTACTTACTCGAGTATTTCCATTTTAGACTTGCACTGCATGACATTTCAGAAGGAAATATTGCACTTTTATTCCACTACCTTTATTTCACAGCCTTAGTTGCTTGTTATTGATTATTAATACAAAATTGAATAAAAAACAACATTTTGATGTATTATTCTATAAACTACCCAGCAAGTATATAAGTAATTCCACTTTTACATATATCCACTAACATATTAATGAATCAATATTATTGTCAATCAATATTATTCAGAAATGGGACATTCTGCATACTGAGTACTTAAACTTTTTGGTACTTTTTTTGATGCCGGCACATTTGGAAATTTACTCACAATACAAACATGTAAAATAACTTCCTCAAATTAAAACTTTAGCTCCAAACAATAATCTGTTATCCACATATCATGAGCACACACTCTTTCTTTCACACACAAACAGCTTTTGGACGCTGCTATTCTTCAGTCTCTCTCTCTCTCTTTTCATCTTGACTGATACAAACCAGCTCACCAGGCTGATAACTTGTGTTTTTTTAATCTGTGTATCTTTGTTTCTTTCTGACGGCCCAGTTTTCCCAAAGCTTGTGCGGACGTTGAACGGCGGCCTTCACATGATGGTGATCCTCTTTCTGCTGGTGGCAGTGGGCTTCGCGTTGGTCAGTCTGTCTTTCTGTATTTACAACGCACGCAAGGTTCCTTACCAGAGCATCAAAGGGCACAAAGGAATCTACCTGTGGAACTTCATTGCTGGTATGTGAGGCAACTTTATCTTTACTCTTTAACTCAAAATCTCCCTCTTATGTGGCTTTTATGTATTGGTTGCTTCACATTTCCACCCTCATTTCTTCCACGTGTGCTTCTGCCCACTTTGTATTTCCGCCCCTCTTTTTATATGACTGTTTCCTTATTACCCTTCCTCATGCTTCTGAGCATTACGTTACTTCTCTATTTTCCCTCACTGACATTTGTTCTCCCTCTGTTTCCAGCTCTTTTTGGTTCCCTAGGTGTGTTGTGTTTCCTGGCAGCCTTGAGGCACCACAGACTGACTGAGCGGGTGGCTAATTATCAGGAGAAACTTTTTGTGCTGGTTGTCCTGGATGACAGCCTAGACTGGTCTTTCTGGCTGGGTGTTGGCAGCGTTGCCACTCACTTTGCCGTCTGTGGGGTGGTTGCCCTGAGTCGGATCAAACTGCCCAAACCGGAGATCAAGAAACCTGAAGAACCCACTATCTCTTCTCTAGACCTGCTCTACTGAAGGACCAACCAGGGAGAGTGAAACCAACACTGTGCCAGTGTCCCTTTCCTTTACGTGACTTTTAAGTTCATTACAGCCTCAATTTAGTCTAACGTTTATGTAAATCCTCATATGAAAAATCTTTTCCCAGTGTTAATAAATGTTTGTCTGTGGCAATTATTTAAAGGGTTCAAGTGTTGCCTGGAAAGTAGTTTTCTTGACAAAAAGCTGCTTTGACTGATGGCTGGATTAACCTGCTAGAGACTCATGGGACCAAAATGAGTCTCCGGCCTCCGACCCCCAGTTCCACTGGTGCAGTGGATAAGACACATGCCTTTGGTGTATGAGACCTGGGTTCAAGTCCACTGTGACGGACCAGTGTGTCCTTCAGCAAGACACTTAACCCCTAGTTGTTCTAGAGGCGTGCGACCTCTGACATAGCAATTGTAAGTCACTTTGGATAAAAGCGGCAGCTAAATGAATGACTATTTATTTTTTATGTTTAACGTGCACTGTTTCTATAGACTAACTGGAGTAGGCCCAAAAACACATTAATTTTGTAATAGATATTATATAATTGAGATTATATGAGAATAAAAAAATGAAGTTCTTTAAACTAGATTTGGCAAAGGGATCATCTGATCTTGAGAAAGTACCTTGAGATTAGCTAAGTAAGTGGTGCATTTTTCCAAACAAAAGTTCAGTGAAATCAGCAAAAACTACAGTACACCTCAAGCTTTTGTGGGCATGTAGAATCCGGTGCCCTGGCGCCGGGGCACTTAGGCTACTTGGTAATCTAGCCTGGCTGTGCAGCTGTATCATTTAAAAGTATCAAATAAGCTTTTATTCAGGTACAAACTCTTGGATTTATAATAAGACTGCAAATATTTTTCCACCCTCAGAATAAATAAAGGCCCATTGATCATTTCAGTGAAATATATTTTTTATATAGCCCAAAATCACAATTTGCCCTCTACCCATAGACCCTTGATTCAGATGAGGAACAACTTTAACAAAAGGAACTAGAAGGAACAAATCTCAGAAAGAGGAGGGATCTTTCTTTCAGGACAGACAGACATGCAGATGTTGTTTAAACAGAGTAGACAAAGGTTGCAGTGATAAACTTACAAAATGGAGAAACAGAACAACAATATCAAGTAAAGTAAAGTAAAAAAATGTTTTCAGTGATGATGACTGGGCATCAAAGAAGACGAGAAGAAACCTTCGTGTGCCAGCAAGCACTGATAGGACTATAAACCTCCCTCTTGGTTCTGCTGTCCAAACAGTCAACACACGCCGGACAGATCAGACTCTGGATCTGTTTGGTGTCTGCTCAAAGAAACTGCAGGTAACGTAAAATCACCAAATCCAAATAAAACTCAAGTCACTCACTTGTAGCTTCAGACGCTGGTAACTGTGACAACAGGATCACAGAAAAAGGCTGTGACACAAACAGCAGGTCTTTTAATCAACCTTTGTTTAGTAGCTTAAGCTGTAATCGGGACACATGAGTCCAGCATCCCAAACTTTTCTCTGCATTCTGCACATCCTGTATTATATTCTGTCTATAGCTGCAATATGAATTTTGTGTATAAATTGTGACAGATGTGTTTTTAATTACTTTGCAGATCCCTGATGGAAAGTTTGCAACTATGCATGAATGATGATTTATTATGATCTTCCATAAACAGAGACTAAATAATTGTCCTTTGATTTATATTCACTTTGTCATAAAAAGCAGATACAAAGGTCAAAATAAGACCTATTTTGTACATGTTGAAAAAAGTAATTTTGGCCATCATTAAAGGACTTTTTTGACCTGTGTTAGATTAGTTATAATCACGTGTTAAGATGGCTGCATGACTTCAAAAGAACTTTTTTTTTTGTTTAAGATGCTTCCTTTCAGACAGGGAAACTGACTTACAACAAACAAATATTTACAGAAGACAATTAAACAATTAGTCAGGGTATGTGTTTCTTCTTTTCATGTATAAAATGTGTAGGTTATTGATTGTTATTTTGGGAATGTCTGCTCACTGATATTGTTAACTGCAGTGATGGAAGAACTCAGATCTATTTTACTTAAGTAAAAGTAGCAACCCCACAATGTAGCAATACTCTGTTACCAGTAAAAACCCTGCATTCAAAATCTTGAGTAAAAGTATGAAAGTGTAAGTATCAAAATATAAAAGTAGCAAAAGTAAATTGCAGAATGGTCCATTTCAGAATAACGTGCATAATATTATTGTATTATAATTATTGATGCATTAATGTGTACATCACTTTAATTCGCTAAGAGGATCAATAAATTATTTTCTTAACCTTCTTAAACTACGATAACACACCATCATTTATGCCATAACCTTCACACCGAGGTATCTCTCCCTTTTGGTGTGGAAGGCCAACAAGTCACAACCATAAGTTATTTGCTTCCCACTGCTACCGCCAGATGGCGACAAGGGTCCGTTTTTGTCTCTTGTTGGTGACGTATAAACAACGCGACGCTGTCGAGTCGATCTGCTGTCTTTTGCACATGGATGCGACCTCTAAATCTTTTGAGTTAATAGTTTGATCCGGGTTTATTTATGCAGAACAGATGACAATGCTTCTTCTGAGGAGAGCCGCGCAGGCGGCGGTGCGGACAAACCACTGCAGGTCGTTTTCTGCGTCACAGGCTCACCTGAACGAGAGAAAAGTAAGTAGCCTTAGTTAGCCTGTTAGCCTAGGCAGTAGTGACTCACACAGGACTCATCCTTCACAGGTGGCGTGTTTGTTTACAGGAATCCTTACTGTGTTGATGTGTGTCTGCAGGGTCTGGTGCTGGGAGTGTTTGAGAAGGAGGGAGAGGAGGGCAACCTTCATCTGACAGAGGCAGCCGCAGGTTTTGACCAAACGGTGTCTGGGAAACTCACTGAACTGCTGAAAATGTGAGTGTGTAATATCTGTGAACTGTCAGTTTATGTCTTGGTATGTGATGGTAACAATATACACTCACCTTCCAGTTTATTAGGTACTCCTACAATAAACGCATGCAGTCTAATGCAACAGTTTTGCAATAAATCAGCCAACCTTCATAAGAAGAAGAAGATATACTTTATTTATTTAAAGGTTGTAATGTTGACTCAAATGATAATGGAGATGTAAAAGGTTAATGTCAGTAGTTAACTATCTAGCTGCTTTAATAACTTAACTTTCCTACCTTCAGAGATTCGTAATTAGCATTTACTTAAAATGAGCGATCTGATGTCAGCTAGCTGAGAGCCCACCCTATCATTTTATTATAACTATGTAATTTCATATTTTATGTAATTGTCAGCTAACACTGATGTTTAAGCATGAGCAGTAAAATTGGGGATTAGTTATTGTTGAGATACATTTTTACATCGATATAGAGTTTCTTATTTCATATGAAGTCTTTTGTGAGTCCTTTCACAATAAACATTTGTTTTAACTCTGGAAGTCCCAAAAATTAATAATTCCCCAACAACAGTGTCTGACTACTGCTTTATTGGACGCAGATTAGTTGGTCTGCTGTTGTGTGTCTGACTTGCTGGCAGTTTTGCTCTAGAATACTTGGTGACCTCTGACTTCAAAAGTTGTCGTGTGGTATGGGGCACCCATGAACTGGTGTAATGAATTTGATTTATCATCTACAGACTAATGACATTAGTTAAATAAGCAAGAATACTATAAACATTGTAAGATTTTAGTTCACTGAAGCCCGCACCTGCGCTGTACTGGGTTTTCTTTTGGACCTGGAAAAAAAAGTTAACCCCCCCGGTTGTTGCTGTATAATTCGCACCCTGGGTCCACTTACTCACTTTGTCTGGTGATCTTTGACCGTATCGCACGGTCTCCATTAGCAGATGAAGTTTACTCAGTTCCCCGCGACCCTGTACGCAGGACAAGAGGAAATCCCAAAAGCAAAATCTATTCCAGTGATATACAGCCTGTGATATCAGTCTCTTCTTTTCTTACTACTACTGTCATATTAACAGAAAAAAACAGCATGGCTAAAAGAAATTTAGAAGCAACTTAAATATAGCATATATAGATATGCATATAGATATTGCATTGGGAAAGATTCTACTGCAAAAATATCAGTATTGATATTGGCAAGATATTGTGTATTCATTAGTGGTATACCCAATGCTTAAGTATTCTGGATCGTCTCCTCTAATTTAACTGAGCAGGTGATATAGGCAAATGTGGAGATGTACAAAAAACAAATGTACTTTTAGAAACCTTCCAGAACAATACTGGATTCAAAATTGCACAGGCCTGCAAAGTAGTTCCACTCAGAGGTCTACTGATAACACTCTTTGACCTCACTGATAAATTGAAAAAGAAAAAAGTACTTGGTATTGGCCACTTTAGAAGATATTTTATTTGGCCTCATGTGATTGGTGCATCCATAATAACTTTGAAAAAAAACAATCATACAATACTGGGGCATTCCTAATGGATATCATGCTAACACTGTATGTCTGACTAACATGTTGAATAGTTTGTTAACAAACTGATTTTTGTTTTGTACTTTTTTCAGCTCTGGACCAGCGGTCAAGAAAGGCAAAAGCAGAATATTTTATGGAATCCACAAGGTAAAGAGTTGTGACATTAGCATAAGAAATCTGTGTCTCTTGACAACGTCAGAGTGATTAAATCTTCCCTGTGTCTCGCTTAGGACTTCCCGTGTGTTGCAGTAGTCGGGCTGGGTAAGAACAATGCAGGTGTCTGCGGGGCCGAGAGCTGGGACACCAGCAAGGAGAACATCAGACAGGCAGTGTCAGGTAAAACGCATGACTCTGCTCGTCTTGTGCTGCCTATATGGAGGAACTTTTGGAGTATGTACCTGGCTGTGATGATGTGTGTCTATTTGTGTGTGTTCAGCTGGCTGCCGGTCACTTCAGGACCTGGAGGTGAACCACGTGGAGGTGGACGGCTGCGGTGATGCCCAGTCAGCAGCAGAAGGTGCCGCTCTGGGTTTGTTTCAGTATGACCAACTCAAATCCAAGAAGAAGACCAAAGTGGCCACACAGCTTCATGGAAGGTAGAATAACACGAGCTGAGCTCGGGCAAACTGAATTTACCCTTGGCTTAATACAGACGTATGCAGCATCATGCTTATTTTTTATACTGTATATCTCTGTGTGTATTTGTTTTTAGTGCTGACTCGGTTG